CAAAATTCGATCGTTATTTGAACAAATGCTTACCTAAAACCTACGAAAACTCCTTTAAACAGGGAACTCCCCTATAAGCAATGAAATCTCATAAGGGAATGAACTGAATTCTATGTATAATGGCTCTTTTTCAATCACACTTCGACAGATGAACAATATTTTTGGGCTAGTTTTTGATTGGCTTTCTTTAGACCAAATGCTTCCTTAAAACATACGAAAGCTACTTTCAACATAGAACTCCCCTATAAGCAATGAAATCCTTTCAGTGAATGGACTTTATTCCACTGTATACTGTGTATAATGGCTCTTTTTCAATCACATTTCGACATAATAACAAGATCTGAGAAATCTACGAAAGCTTAAAAAATCCCCCAGGGATTTAAATATGGAACTCCCCCTATAAGCAATGAAATCTCATAAGGGAATGGACCTTCTTCCACTGTATTCTGTGTATTATTACTCTTTTTCAAACACACTTTGATAGAAGAACAATATTTTGGGCTGGTTTTTGATTGACACTCTTTAGAGCATATGCTTCGTTAAAACATACGAAAGCTACTTTCAACATGGAACTCCCCTATAAGCAATGAAATCTCATAAGGAAATGGACTTTCTTCCACTGTATTCTGTGTATAATGGCTCTTTTTCAATCACACTGCGACATAATAACTAAATCTGAGAACTCTACAAAAGCTTAAAAAATCCCCCAGGGATTTAAATATGGAACTCCCCCTATAAGCAATGAAATCATATAAGTTTATGGACTTTCTTCCACTGTATTCCGTGTATTATGTTATATTACTCTTTTTAAAACACACTTTGATAGAAGAACAATATTTTTGGGCTGGTTTTTGATTGACACTCTTCGGAACACATTAAAATCCCCTTGAGAAATAGCAATATTCGAAGTATTCTCCTCTTTGCCAAACCACAAATGTGATCAACTTCCTTTGGGTTTTCGAAAAGCAATTCCCAAGTTCAAAGTCGAATAATCAAATATTATCGTTGGCTGTTATTGAACTCTTGTTAAAACATACAATCGTCTATCTGTGTATTCGTTTTATGTACATGCTTAGCCATGTTTTTGGCATTTAACGCATGATTGAGTCATTAAGATACGGGGAGTACTCACACCCCAGTACCCGGTCCCCAGTCCATGGTCCCCTTCTGCGGGTAATACGATCAGCCAACAAACCGAAAGTAATTTCGTGTAAAACGATCTACTGTGTGTGCGAAATGCAAACAGTTGCCACACTCAAGTTGCGTTCGGTATTCGATTTCGATTTCGTTTAATAGCCCCTCAGCAAAAGCAAAAGCAAAAGCAAAAGCGAGCCACACCAAAACCAGAACTGGTATAATAAAACCTCTATGGGTCTTGGGACGGGCTGACCAGGGGGGTCAATTCAGCGTAGAAGGTGTTGGCTGGGCATTTCGTTTCATTTCAGTGATCCACTGATTCGATGATTCATGGTGTGGTTTGGGGTTGGATTCTGGGGTCTTGGGATGTCGGAAACGAGTCCGGAGATCACTTTGATGTGGAAGAGATGTTGAAATGTGCCAACATTTAGGAATATGAATATGATTATGGATATCATAAGAATTCGAGTAACATACAAGGCTAATACCCAACACAAACATCGTCTTGAAATATTAACCATTTCAATGTGCTAATAGCTTGAACATCTGAAGGTAGGGTATCGTCAGGTCCATTCATCAGTGGCAACACTTCCCGCCCCATCTATTGTTCTTCTATAAATGTACAAAAATCATTCGAGTATAAAGATTTCCTTATAGCCGGCTAATTATAGAATAGTTGCCGATCTGGCAAAGTTGAATAACACCGAGGCGCTGACACACACTCAACCGCGGGGCTCATCTCCTGTACAATTGCACATTTGGCTGTATTTTTAGCAATATTTTTCAACAATTGGGCGATCGATTCAAAAAATCAACAAATAACGTCAGTAGAGCGGAGGGGGGGGAGCGGGAATGGGTATATAGAGCCCCCCCCTGCCGCGACACGTGCTCCGATGAACGCATTTTCATTCCCCATTTGCACATACCATAACCATTACCATTACCATTCCCACTGCCCCGATTACCCCATGCCACAGAGCAGACACCACCTTTCCCCCACGCTGTGGCAGCGGTGGCGTCAATTTGATTAAATGTCTTTCAATTGAAAATTGTGGCTGATTGGCTGCTGCTGCTGCTGCTCTGCTTCAGCGATTGCACACACACCCCATAGTTTTCCCTTTGCTTTTCATTTTCCCTTACATTTACACATGTTCTGTTCTCATTTCCCTTGGCATTCCATTTAATGTTAATAATACGAGTATTAATCAAAATCATTTCACCTGCTTTCAAATTCATTTGGCTTTAAATTCAGCTTCCTATCTGTTTTTTCTTCTACTCCCTCTTATCCCATGCAGCCATCATATCCTATACCAATCCCAAGATACAAATGCCCCTAATGGCATCTGCAATATACGCGCCCACCACAACATCTACAGCTCCATCTGCAGCAGCACCCGCTTCCGCTTCAGCTTCATTATCATCACCACCACCACCACCACCTCCCTGCTCCTCATCGGCATCATCCGCATCCGCATCCGCATCCTCCGACCCGGTTGGGGGTGGTACGTTCCGTGGATTCGTTACGAAATTGCGTAATTTCAAATTTGATGATACGAAAAATATTAGAAAACGTTTCCATTTCGATTATATATCAAAGGACAGATTTTTGGGTATGTTTCAAAATTTATGCTTATATTTTTTCAGTCTTGGAATAGAGTCTATGATATAGTCGTAAAAAATAAATAAAGAAACACAAAATTTTACAGGTTGGTTCTTTAATGACTACGAAGTCGGTTCTTGGCCTTACATAATCTGGATACGGATTTGAAATCATCAAAGGAACATCTCTATGATGATTGTGTTTTATATGTATAATCCAGATGATCCCAACTTTCGAATTAGCATTTTCATTAACCATTTTTGTTAAATTTTACGGGTTCGGCATTCCCACATTAAGGTCGGGCCCCGTGGGCGTTTTGATCCAATGTTTGGTGGCGCCTCACGCATGACACCCACATGCAGACGCACACACAGACACAGCGCACCACCAGTATATGTGAAATTCATTCACAAAATGTGGCGTCTGGAACTTAATTTGAATGTTTTATTGTCGCTTGATGCTACTTAAACTTCGACTTATGAATATTAAATCACCATGTCTCTGGCTGCGAATCGGGGAGGGATGGAGTGCTTAGGCTCCCGCTGTTAATGAAGCAACGCATCAGACACACACAGGTGGGGCACGACAAGATCAGATGGGGACCAGAGGTTCGTCATGTGTTCATCAGAAATGAAATTTCCAGCACCTCCCACTCTGTGGAGAGCAAAACTAAACAAACAATAAATAAAAGTAAAAACTGGGGAACTGGGAAATCTGGGAACACGGGGGAAAATCGTGAAAAGCTTTCAGCGGGCAGAGCAATCAGGGCGTTGCTATCACTGAGTTATAGTTCTTGACAACTGATTTATCAGAACTCCGTCAAAGGCGAACGAGCACGCGATCTCTGGGCTCTCTAATCAGCTCACAGCTGCAGGTGGCGGTCTTATTTTCGGGGCATGCCACATAAATACCATTTCCCTGTGGCCGAAGATCAAAGCCAGATGGGGAAGGTTCTGGGGGGCAGATGTGGCTGCGGTGCCCCCTTAGATAAACCGCAGATGCATTGCAACAGGTGGGGCAGCGTGCGAGAGGAAAGCGTGTTAGAAAGTTACGGCGCGCGGGCAGGCAGCCTTTCCACGAAACGTTTCGAACCTCTTTGTGAAATTTAATTAAAAGCAGCCATCCATCGAAAGAGTCACTGACATTCTGAGGGGCATTTCTTTCCCATTTGCTTGGGCCTGGGCCTGGGCCTCCGCCTTTCCTATAAATGTGCCATGCGCACACATCATAAAAAGCTGTGAGGCCTCTCTCTTTGAAGGCCAGCGAGAAATGGTAATCGGGTAATTGAAAATTCTCAGCACGTGCTACTATTTTTGCTCCCAATCGTCGGCCCACAGTGGCAAGCATAAGTATATGTATATGCTGGCATTCGAGATAAGTTCTCTTCGAGATATTGTTTACTTCCGCATAACAATACCCCGTACTCGTATTCTTTATCATCTTGAAGTGATTGCAAGTTTTCCTGCGCTTATCATTGCCATGGAATGTATGTATTCCACAGCTTATCAGGTGATCTCACACTTATTTCGAGCACTGTGTTACGCATACTTTTTTTGAAATTACATCACCTGCAGTAATTCAATAAATTTTATCTCAGTCTCAACATCTTTTCGTAGAAGTATCTACAAAATAAATATAGTAAAAATTAAATACAAGTATCCGCAGACTATTTTTAAGCACTGTGATCATTTGTATGCGTCCAGGCCCGACCAAGTCGGTTCTCCTTGGGTTTTATGAAATGAGCCAAAGATTAATTTTCACTCAACTTTGAATTTTCGCCACAAAGAAGAGCAAAGAAGTTGGGGGGACTCTCTTCGCGGATGCACCGCGGGACAGAAGACGTTGTCGACACCCCGCTAAATGGTCTGTTAACAATTTTTAATTTCCACGCTCTCTCCCCCTCCAAGTGCTGCTTAGATTATGCCATAAATCAGTTTGATGTTGCCATTAAGTGTTTACAGGCCGCCCATTCGCATGATGCATCGGCATGCCGGGCATTTCGAACAGAAATCGAAACAAAGAAATCTATAAACAAATTTTGAATGCACTGAAAACATTCAATTAATTGGACAAAACATAAACTTTATGGCCCCTGATCGTAAAACGATGGGCATAAATTTGTGGGCGCGTTAAGAATTCTGACAGCCAATAAAGTTATACCTCTCTCTCCCTTGATAGATCACTAAAGTTATACCTCTCTCTCCCTTGATAGATCACTAAAGTTATAGCTCTCTCCAATGTTTCTCTCTCTCTCTCCTTTCAGGCGGTCAGCTCAAGACTAAGAATGGCCAGAAGTACGTTTTCAATGGACCGCCGACGGGCGTGTATGTCTCCAGGGCCTGCCTGATCATCTCGGCCTTCATTATGATTGTGGCGCTGCTCTTCTCCATAGCCATCACCTACTTCGTGGCCCGGCAAGGCGTCTCGCCACCAACGGAAGCCAGTCCCGGGTGAGTAAAAGGGCCCAAATCGAAATAATTTTCCACCTTTCACGGGTGCGGTATTCGGTAATTTGGTCTGTCTGGTATTTGCTTGGTTTTGCATTCTGCTAAACGTTTTGGCAAGCGTGCTAATTGGCAGTCGAACGCGACATGACCTCATTTTCGAAAGTGAAAGCAATTTATGCGTTTCCTTTTGCCGCCTCCGGACTCTTCTTTTGAGCCTGACGCATTTCGAGGTGCGGAAGGGTCAAAATTGGAGCTGGAGGATGGATTTGTGGGTGTGACCGGCGGAGCAGCACTTTGCATAAATGAACCCGAATTGATTTGTTTGCTTTGCAACTCTTTTTTGCCTTACAGTTGCATCACCGCTCACCATCCCGAGGTGAATGCCACGCCCATCGAGACTGCTGGATGGCTAAGCCTCAATGCCCCGCCCAAACCGCCTCCGGTCGTGGAGACGGAGACGAAGATGGCGCCGGCTCCACCCGTGGGTGACATAATACCCGTGCCCAAGCCGCCCACGGAAGTCCTCGATAACAGCACTAAGCCCACAGATCGGCCCCTCAAGCTCTACGAGGGCTGGCGTCCGCTGCACTACAGGTGAGTGAAGGGTGAAACCTATCTAAGTATCTAAGTGGCACTCGTCACAGGGGGTGTGGTGTGGTGTGGCTGTGGCTGTGGGCCAAGCAATTTAGCACTTAAGAGCCACAATTGCATTTAATGGAAATCGCCGCAGGCCCGACACGAGACTGCCTCCTGTTTAAATGGCTTTGCATGTTCCCCTTTTGATTCGAGGCTGACACACAAATCGCTTCACTCGCACGACTGTTCTGTCATTTCCGGCTCCACACTGAGATCTGATCGGACAGTTGACTGCAATCTGGATCATGTTGTGTATCAATGCTATCTTGACGGGCTAAGACGAAGCCTGTCAGCGATATTAATATGACAGAAAGTTTTCTTGGGGCAGATACAAACGTTATCTTTACAAGGGCAATAATTTTCATCAGGAAAGCTATTATTCTATAGGTAATCAAATATTTTGCTTGGTATAGAGAATAAAATACAGAAGCTATGCCGTTTTTATGCCAAGACTGAGCTGGGGAGCTGGGAAATCCTTCTATTTATCCCAAAACTTGGATTTGTCTACGCCCATAAAAGTCTTAATGTAGTGCCCACGTCCTTTTATCCTTGACAGCGCCTAAAACCAGTAAAACCTTCAGCCCTTCCCCATTGACGTCAGTCTTGGGGTCATGTACAGCCACATACGTATTCGTATACGTATATTTTTATTTCTATTGCGCCAAAGTGGGTCAAGGATTGAGCCGCAATGTAGCAGCAGCCGTGTACCAAAAGTGGAGACCAAAGAACTTTAGCTACTGCTGCTGCTTATATTCCAGCCGCTTTTCACATGTAACTAATGAACTAACAACTTGTTCAAGACACCACGGGAGATGGCGGCCAACAGCGCCAGAGAGCTGTCGGGTTTGGGGGGGGCTCGTTAGGCCTGGGCCCGCTCTTCAGTCACACTCTGGGAAAAAGATGCGGAACCAAAGCGAAGCAGAGCGGCATAGATCTGAGGAAACAATAAACGCACGCCGACTGTCGGCATGACATAATGTGCCAGATACTTGGACCAGCAGCCGGATAGATATAGATGGTCGCCAGATAGGAAGATGCTCTGCCAGATGGGAAAAGATGCTCTCCAGTAGATCCAGTAGCCAGTAGCATGCATTAATATAATTGACACAGAAAGCCAGCCCAAGCTGGGCATTAATTTGTGCCCCTCACGCAGGCCTCCCTCCAACTCCGATCAGAGATGGGAGATGCATCGGTCGATGGCTGATGGATGGTGGCGGCAAGTGCCGCAAAGTTCTCTTTGCACCAATCGATGGCAACTGATTTTCCAGCTGCTGATCAAAGCAACACTGTCCACCGGTAGCCCCCCAAACCCTGCCCCTCCCCTCCTTGTATCTGCCGTATCCATGGCAAATTGCTGGCTCGAAGCTTGCTTCCTGGTTGCCCCGGACGCACGCATTGTAAACCAATCGCCTCAATTAAATGCAACAAGGCGCAAAGCCAGCACCCATGGGGCTTCCAGATTGGCAACCGCTGGAGTGGCGGTGGAGTGCGAAGAGTGGGTCGCCAACAGAACAGGCCGGCGGCCGCATCTGCCAGATAGTCTGTGGCATTTGTGGCATGTGTGCGCGAGAGCCGAGGGAATTGATCTTCAATACATTTTTATTGCTCTCATATTAGCAGAGAGCTTAATCACCAGAGAGAGTTATAATTGAAATGAAATTCTGTCGAAGAGTTGGGTGCCTGCCCCTAAAAGAAGTGAAAGGAGACTTGGACCTCATTTTGAAGAGTTAATTTGCGAATGATATTTCATATTTACCCATAATTAAATTCCTGTTTTCCTGTATCGGGATTTACATAAAAACTGCCTTCGGTAGAGCATCCAATCTTCGTGGTGGCTGCAGCCGCTTGTCCCCAGTTCTTGTTTGCTCTGATTGCTGATGCGGCTTATGATGTGGCATGGCATGCACAGCGACTAATGGCTGCCTCTGCCTGCCCCATCGCCATCCCCAATCCGTCGAACGAAGCCAGATCACAGTGTGAATTGCATTGCCCTCAAATGGATGCCAAACACATGTGCAGGCGCTGCTCTCTGACTGCCACCGGACGAGCGAGGCGAGTGATTGATTGATTGGCACTTTTGATGGCTGCAACTTGGCATTTTTGGCAGCCATTTGCATTTCACCTGCACTGCATTTCCCCGGGCTATTTTCATGATACATTCCCATCTCACTTCCGCCTCTTGTAGCCTCCTGATTGAGCCAAACATTGTGACATCGTCCAACAACGGCAGCCTGACCATCGAGATCGAACGGGACGTGGCCAAGGTGAGCGCCTGGCAGCCCATCGTGCTGGACGTGCATAACGTGAGCATCGCCAATGTGCGTGTGATCCGAGCGCCACTTCCGGGCAAGACCAGCAATGGCAGCGACGAGCTGGAGCTGGACTTTGACAGCGACTATGGCGAGGACAATGCCACATTTGTGGTCCGCTTGGACAAGTCCTTGGCCGCGGAGACAAAGTTGCGGCTGCTGCTGAGTCTGGACTTTGTCAGTCAGGTGACGGAGACCCTGCAGGGTGTCTACAAGACCAGCTACACCAATCCGGATACCAAAAAGCCAGAGTAAGTGATTGCAGCACTTCCAATAGGATAATCGCTTAATGGATAACCCTCCTCTCTTGCAGATGGATGATCAGCACACAATTCTCGCCGATCGATGCGCGACGCGCCTTCCCCTGCTTCGACCGTCCCGACATGAAGGCCAACTTCTCCATCAGCATCATTCGCAACAGCCAGTACAAAATGGCCCTCTCCAACATGCCCAAGTCGCACAGCAGTGCCTACCGTCCGGGCTTCATAAGAGATGACTTCTTGACCACACCGAAGATGCCCACGTATCTGGTGGCCTTCATTGTCTCCAACATGGTTGACTCGCGCTACGCGGCTCTCGACAGCAGTGTGGTGCCGCGCGTGGAGATCTGGACACGGCCGACGTTTGTGGACATGACCCACTATGCGTACAAGATGGTGCGCAAGTTCCTGCCGTACTACGAGGAGTACTTCGGGATCAAGAACAAGCTGCCGAAGATCGACCTGGTGTCGGTGCCGGACTTTGGCTTCGCGGCGATGGAGAACTGGGGCCTGATCACGTTCCGGGACTCGGCGCTGCTGGTCCCAGAGGATCTGGAGCTGGCCTCCTCGTCGGAGCATATGCAGTACGTGGCTCAGATCATTGCCCACGAGCTGGCCCACCAGTGGTTCGGCAATCTGGTGACGCCCAAGTGGTGGGACGATCTCTGGCTGAAGGAGGGATTCGCCTGCTACATGAGTTACAAGGCCCTGAACCATGCCCATCCCGAGTTCCAGATCATGGACACCTTCACCATGATGGAGTTCAAGGAGTCGATGCAGCACGACGCGGACAACACCTCCCATGCCATCTCCTTTGACGTGAAGTCCACCAACGATGTGCGCCGCATCTTCGATCCGATCAGCTACTCCAAGGGCACCATTCTCCTGCGCATGCTGAACTCCATTGTGGGGGATGAGGCCTTCCGCACGGCTACCCAGGATCTGCTGAAGACCTTCGCCTACGAGAACATGGACCGCAACGATCTCTGGGCAATCCTCACCCGCCATGGCCACGAGAAGGGCACTCTTCCGAAGGAGCTGAACGTCAAGCAGATAATGGACTCCTGGATAACGCAGCCGGGCTATCCGGTGGTCAATGTGGAGCGCCGTGGGGCCGACTTGGTCCTCCGCCAGGAGCGATATCTTCTGCCCGCCCGCAATCCTGCGGACCACAGCCGCTGGTTCATCCCCATCACCTTCGAGACGGACGAGCTGCACAAGGGCGACAACATCCCCACGCACTGGATGACCAACCAGGAGGACCAGCAGGAACTCATCGTTAGCCACGTCTTCAACAGTGCCAGCAACAACGACAGTGTGGTCTACTTGAATCTGAACCGTCAGGGCTACTACCGCGTCAACTACGACATGATCTCGTGGCTGGCTCTCAAGAAGAACTTCAGCACCCTGCCACGGATAACGAGAGCCCAGCTCCTCGACGATGCACTTCATTTGTCGCAGGCAGAGTATCTGCCCTACGACATACCGTAAGTTGGACCGCTAAATCAATTGCTTCTCTACGCTAACTGAGGTTTCATTTATTACAGTCTGACCTTCCTCATGGAGCTGTACACGTCCGTGGATGATGAGCTGCTCTGGAGTGCTGCCAAGCCGGGACTCAACTATTTGATCTACAACCTGAAGCGGGAACCAGCCTATGAGACTTTCAGGGTGAGATTTTGTTAGACATTTGAACCCTTTAAATGATTTTGTACTCATGCTGGATGCACCTTTCTTGTTAGGCCTTTATGAAGTTCATCGTTCGTCCGGCCTTCGATCAGTATGGCCTGAACGAGCCCGACAACGAGTCCCATCTGCAGTTGAAGCATCGCGCTTTGGTGGCCAACTTTGCCTGTAAATTCAACTACGATCGATGCACCCAGGTGGCCCAATCCAAGTTCCGCGAATGGATGCGAAATACCAAAAAGAATCCGTAAGTTTTTGAGCTTGTGCTGAAGTCCAAGTGTTAGCTAATCACCTTTATGGGTTTTTTAGAATTAAACCGAATCTGAAATCGGTGATCTACTGCACGGCTCTGGCGGAGGGTTCCTATCCAGAATGGTACTTCGCCTACAAGCAATACAAGACAACCACAAGCGCCTCTGAAAAGGAGGAGATACTCACCTCGTTGGGCTGCACCACGAAGCCCTGGCTGCTGTCCAAGTGAGTAGCAGATAATCAGCACTAAATGGAATTAGATTAAAGACCATTATCGATTCTTCTCACAGATACCTCAACATGACCATCAATCCCACATCGGGCATAATGAAGCAGGATGGTGCACTGGCCTTCCGCGCCGTGGCCTCCAATGCCATTGGCTACGAGATTGCCTTTGATTTTCTGCAGAGCAACATTAAGGAGATTGCCGAATAGTGAGTATTACTTGAAGGATCCTAATATACTGGTATCATTTACTATATCTCACACCTATTACTCACAGCTACGGCGATGGTTTCTCCACCCTCTCCGAGATGATCAAATCCTTGACCATCTACATGAACAAGGAGTACCACAAGCAGCAGCTGCAGGACCTGGCCATCAATTGCCGCAAGCTGGGCCTCAGGGCCGTCGAGACAGCTATCAACCTGGCCATGGAGCAGGTCAACGATAATATCTATTGGCGCACACACTCCTACCACAGCCTCAAGAACTTCCTCGAGGGCATTGTCAGCGAGTTCCAGATTAACATATTCTAAGTTGGCTAAAGCTGAAGCTGAAGAAAGAACAACAAGAAAAGAAAACTCAAATTGAATTCAACCAAAAACGCGATTTAATTATTATGATAACTATTACCATTATTTGTATTCATTCGAAAGCCTCAAATTAATTTAAAGAAAACGAATTATTTGCGAAAAGTGATATAAACGTGTAAGTTAGCCAACATAATTTAGGTAAACGATATACTTTTTGCAATTGTATATTTATTTATTATAAGTCGGGCTTCTTCTGCTTCTTGGTATTGCTCTGTAACGTTCCTATTAATGCAGAAATAGTGAGAGCACTCACCGCACATCGTGTTTGAGTAACAATAGATCTAATGCTGCTTTTGTAAAATCTTATCTTTATACTATGATATGATGAACCATGATTGTCAAGTACTCTACTTTTGTGCACACCTACGTAGATCCTAAGCGAATCAAATTAGCACTAAGTAAACCAAAAATCTATTTTTTAGTCACATCAAAATCAAGAAAGGTAGTGCACGCCTACAGTTTATTAAGATATTGCGGGAAGAAGCGACCATCCATAAGGATGGGTGGGATGGGATGGGGTGGAAAAATGAGTGTCCTTAATGCATGGTTAAAAATGTTGTTAAAGCAATAAGCGTACACACACATGCACACACAAAAATACATACATTTATATAAACACATATATATTTATTAATGTACAAGTACCTATTATGTATTTTGTAAAGCCCAACACTAAAATACTTATATCGCTTGCTGCACAACCATGTAAATAAGTTTTAAAGCTTATACCTAACATTGGAAATAAACTATGTATTTACGTAATTTTATTCAATATAAATGGCTTTTCTTCTTATTTTGTTTAATTTTCCATCTGATTTTTGAATGAAGTGCAGGAAAATCAAGAGCGCGCAAGCGCAGCTCTGGTAATTTACTTTATTTTTGGCACTTGGTTTCGTTTTGGACTTGGTCACACTGGCGCTCCGGCGCGAAACGATTACTGGTTAACTTTTTTTTGTTTGCTAAAACCTTTTTTTTAGGCAAAATCCAATAAAAGTAAGTATTTAAATTAAACCAGTCAAGTAGAAAATACGTTTATTAATCGGATAGACCCATCTAGCTAGTAATATTCCACGGAATATCAAAAACGAGGAATGTGTATAAAATAATTTGAATTCGTCAGTATATGTATGGTATATTTTGAAATGAGTCGGTATATTTCGGTATATTAGGATCGGTCAGAATAGAGCTGTCAAACCATCGATTACGGTATATCGGTATATATTGGTATATTTTGTCAATTTCTTCAATTTATTAAATTTCATTTTCAATATAGAAATTCAATAAAAGCAAGTATTTAAAATAAGCCAGTCAATTAGAAAATTGATTCATTAATCAGATAAAATTATCCGGGCAGAGCTGAGAGATCTATCTAGCTATTAATATTCCACGGAATATCAAAAACGAGTAATATGTAAGATATAAGTTGAACTCGATAGTTTTGAATGAAATGATTTTAAAAATCGATACTATCGATAGTGCGATAGATGGTGTGACACCTCTAGAAACAGTAGAATTTTGTAAACAATAACAATTAATGTGTAAATAGTCCGAATAAAAAAGTAAGTTTTGCTTAGGATTAATTGTTAAAAGGCATAGTTAACATATCTTTATAGTGGGCAGCAAGCGCAAATGGCTCCCCGCCGAAGAGGACACCTTCATTCGGATCTGGTCCGACAATTTGGATCTGTACCGCAGCGGCAAAAAACAAATTGAAATTTGCCGACTTCTGGAGGACGAGTTCCGATTTGAAGGCATTGAAATAAATCCCGTGGGAATCAAAATGAAAATGAACTCGTTCAAGCGCAAGTATTTCCAGTAAGTAAAGTCACTTGATGGGCCATCAGGACTCGCTTTAAAATATTCCTTACTTGCAGCATCGCAAAAGGTGATGAAAAGTTGCAAACGCGCAAATGGCGGCACTTTAAAACTCTGGAAACAATATTCGGAACGCAATTAAAAGAGCTGGAAGAGAGCTTCGACTCCGACGAAACCGTTGCTAAGCAAACGAGAAAAACCAGATCAAGAAAAACAAATATTCCAGATAATAAACCGTTCAACCAGGTCTATGTGGACGAGTGCACTAGTTTGCTGCTTGACGAGGAAGACTGTACGCCACCCAGCAGTTCAACGAGCGAGGTATACCAGGAGCCATCGGCAAAGAAGCAAAAAATAAACGAGGACCGCCAGGAGCCACCGGCAAAACAGCATACATCTAGCAACGCCAAGAATTCCAAGCAGAGTGTCCAGAATTCAAAGCCGAATTCACTATACACCAAAGCAGGCAAGCTCAGACAACCCAAGCGTCCACGCAGGAATTGGACCATTGAAGAGGAAGTTACGTTCATTGAAGTGTGGAAGAACTATGTGGGCGACTTGCTGGGAGAGGGAAAGAAGAAGGCGGATATCTACCGAGCTATGAAAAATGAGCTGCAAACATATGGCGTAGGATTGGACAAGATACCCTCGGACGTTAAGGCGAAAATGGAATCTTTGAAGCGTACATTCAAGTGAGAGCATTCGAAAACCTTTATGCAGCAGTTTTATTAAATTCTTACGCAATTTTAGATCTGAACATGAAATCTATGGAGCCAACTCGGAGTGGATTCACTATGCTAAACTGGTGGATGTGGTGGGCCCTCTGAATGGCATACTTATTGAAACACATCACGATACCAGCAGCAGTTCCGACGATTGGTTCCCCAATAAAATGAAGGCCGAATCTCGTAGTCAGTTTCCAGATCCTTTGGAAGAACAGAAACAGCAAGATGCCAACGACTCCGATGATTCCTTCTGCTGGGTCCTTGAAGAGGCAGCAGAAGCACCTTCTAGCCATCCAGAACCCCCAAGTGATTCGGCTACAAATCAGCTCTTAGAACACACAGATGAAGGGTGTTCTCCGGTTGAGAGCCCTGTAGATTTTAGTGAATTTAATAACGCTAATAATAATGATTCAGAAACTTGTAAAGACTACATGCAGGACCTAGAAGAAGCAGAGGAGACAGACGAGAGTACCGAACAGCCAGACGACAATCCCTCGAGCCATAAGCAAAAATCTGTAGAGCAATTCACACAATTTGTTGCAAAAGAGTTACTAGTACTGGATGACGATCTGTTTTTAGAGGCCAAGAGATGTATTTACGATGTTCTTCATAATATGGAACGTAAGCAATTAAAGCTAAATAAGCATTAAATTGCTTTAAATAAAAGCCTGTTTCATTTCATTAAAACTATAACAAATATGTTTTGTTAGTTATTAAAAAGTATATGGATGGTCTGCTCTCCCGGTGCACACCCGGTGCACGGCAATGGGAGGCCACATTATTCTCCACGGGATATACAATACTCTCGTGCACTAAAATGAATATTCTCGCCATTATACTGTGGAGACGCTCTTAAATGTTGGAAAACTACAGGAAAGATTTAATCAAGTAGATTCGTGCATGGCAACTACACGTTAACTACACTACTTCTACAAAGCAAATACATATTGATGTAACTATCAGCAGAGACAACTGCATTATCGACATTAAAATTTTGACATTCACTTTGTGTTTGTTGTCAAAATTGCTGCTACAAAAATGAGTTTTTATAAGAAGTATAAAAGTGAACCACATTTGGTGTCTTAAGGTTCTACCGAGATTTGAACTCGGATCGCTGGATTCAAAGTCCAGAGTGCTAACCATTACACCATAGAACCGTGCTGTCAGGCTGCCGCTAAACCAAATAAAAGTGGGCGCGGAAGGCATGGGCATATAATACGAAAAATTTCACCAACTAACTTTCAGATACTGCCACGATGTGAAATTTGTTTCCAAAAAATGTTTTAAAATTAAAAACAAAAGAAATTATATAACATTCATAAAAAGATAACACATTTTATAAATGCAGGTTCTACCGAGATTTGAACTCGGATCGCTGGATTCAAAGTCCAGAGTGCTAACCATTACACCATAGAACCTTGTTGTCGGACAGCTGCTAAAACGCAATTTTCAGCCAAATGCGGTTTGTTCTGCATTTCACCCCAGTGTTTCGGTTAATTTCTAATTTTAAATGCCGATAAAAAAATATCCACAACACGATTGCTGTTTATATCTGTTGTCAAGCAGGCCGGGTGAGAAGCAAATTTTGTTGAATCGATAATGTCAGTTCCAAACAAACAGAAAAACAGACAGTTTATATTTATTTCTCTGTGCGAATAGAAATATAAAGAATTCAAAATGGAAAAGCGGAAGACTTTGTTGGAGAAATATAATATGCCCTTGAGCCATCTGGATTTTAGGTATGCGGATGTTTTAAAAACAACTTCAAACGAAACATCATACCTTTCCACCATCTAGTTATGTGGAAACGTGTAAAAATGCACGGGAAATGGAGAAAATTGTGCAAATCCTACGATCTGGGGAGGAGGGCTATTTCCCGGACCTGCAGCGTTGTTCCGAGGAAAAACTGAAGGAGCTGAAGCCCAACAGTAAATTGTTCCGCTACGAGGAGCCGATACAAAACAGCGATATCCTTGATAAACAGGAACTTAAACCCATTCTGGTAAATATCGGAATCTAGCTGTCGTTAGGGGATTAAACATTTAGAGTTCCATTATCTATTTTTAAGGATTGGACACATGACATCAAGTCGAAGGACAATGCCTTAAACGAACTAAAGAATGACGTGGAATGCTTGGGTTTGGATTTGGCACCTATGCGGAAACCGGCCAAAATAGACGCGGATTTGTCCAGCACTAAGCAATCAAAGCCAGTAAAAGCTCCTCCAGAGCCCCCAAAGACTACGGAAAAGCGAATCCGTTCAACAGACTACAACAAATGGGACAAGTACGATCCCGACGAGGAAATACTGCGCATGGAACTGGCGGAGGAGCGCACTAAAGAGCAGGAAGAGCAAAAAAATCGACCAGACCCCACTCCGATCTCTGAAGAAGTGTTGAAAAGTGAAAGGAATGAACTACAGGAGCGCCTCCAGGAACAGCTTAAGAAACTAAGCCAGGTGGAACGAGAGCAATTCGCTGAAAAGTGGGTACCATCCATCTCATTCTCAGGATTTCTGTTGATTTGCGACTCATTTCAGACGTCGTTTACGTGGCAACGAATACTTCAAGTCGAAGGAGTATGAAAGTGCCATAGAAGAATACAATTGTGCCATTATCTACGATCCCGAGAATGCAGCTCGGGCCTACAACAATCGCGCGGTGTCACGTAAGTTTCAACGAGGGTCAAGATTAAGTTAGTGGCTTTTGAAAGATTAACGGCACTTGTTTTTACTTTCATAGATATGAAAGTGAAGAACTATCTAGCCGCTATATCGGACTGCAAGGCATGTCTGGAAATGGAGCCAGACAATCTGAAGGCTCGTCTTCGCCTGGCCGATGCCAGCTATGCCCAAGGATGTCGCCGCGAGGTAATTAAAGTGTCTCTTATTGATGATGGCAATAATGGCAATTCTGTTCCTTTAGTCCCTCCATCTTTACCAGCGCGTTCTAGACCTGCAGCCGGATAATGCTGCTGCCTTAAAAGCCCTGGAACTGCTAAATAATCAGCTCGGAGAACTTGCTCCGAGTCATGCCACCCGTTTGATGATTGAGGAGTTAAAGCCAGATGCACCGGCCAAACCTAAGGATAATTCCAAAAAAATTACTGATCCAGTGGCGAAGACAGTTCCAGTGGCGAAGCCACCTCCTCTCAAGGAATATGATCTGGCCGAGCTGGTGAAACCGAATCGTGTGGTCAAAAGCAAACTGATTACTGCAGCCGAAGCGTTGGGCAATAAATTCAACGCTCCCACTGCATCCGCACCCAAGACACAGACACAGCCACTCATAAGCGAAGCACCCTCCACGTTGACAGCAATGCTACGTATGCCCCAGACCAACACCAAAAGGAACAACAAGCTGCTGATAGAGGAGATATAATTGACACATTTATTTAGATACAACATTATGAAATATTGAACTTTGGAACGTTGATAGTATAAGGCCAAGGCATGTGTGGAAATGGCCATTTATTTCTTCAAAAGTTCCTGAATGTAGCGACCCAAAACAAGGAAGGGGCGGTGCTCATACTCCTCCTTCTTCTCGGAGTCAACCTGTGGATTCATTGATTTATTGGTTTATTGGTTTTGCCGCAAATACTTAATAGCTCGCAAAATAAGTGTTCTTCACACTTTCAGCAAAAAGACTAAGAGCAGTTCTTTCCGTTCTCTTTGCCTCTGCTTATTCTCGGACCGTTTGCTCGTGAACGACGATTCAAAAAGTCGTTTGCGTATGTCAAGCTTCGCGGGCTTTCAGTGTCACTTGTCAGGGGAATGATACGAACTGCTCAACAGAAAACCGAAACGAAAAGAAATTAAGTCTGCTGCTCAGAGAGAGAGAACGAGGGTGCATGCTTTTTTACAGTTTTTCTCTTAAGGAAAAAACCGCTCATCAGTTATTTGCGCTAAACTTTTTCGACATTTGGCTAGGGATATTTTGGAAGCTCACCTGATCGCCGTCCAGACGATTGAGTAGGGTCACACAGATGTCGCCAGCCTTCACGCCAATCTTCTGGGTGACCGAAGCGAACATGCTGGCCTCCATTTCGATGTTGCGAATGCCCAGGTCATGGCACTTCTTCAAGAATTTCATCTTGTCCTCAGCACTGTATTCACATATGGCGCCATCAGTACGTCCCTGACCTAAGTCAATCCAATAAGCATTGTGATGGCTACGGCTTTTTCTATGAACCACTTGACCCACTTGACCCTTGCACACTTACCCTCGTAGAAGCAGTCTGTGCCCATGGTGTTGGCACTTATAATTTGGAAACCATCATCGTCCCGGGCACCATATGCCAGAATGTCCTTGATCACACTCTCAGGGAACTGGGCGGGTCGCACCACACGCTCTCCGAGAATTGCCTAATTAGCAAATGGGATGGTAATAATTAATTAACTAACTGAAGTGTTCAACCGAAGCGGATCCACTTACAATCTCGTGTTCGTTGCGGAGCAAGCCGTTGAAGGCATTCTTCGTTACGACAACCGTGCCGGGGGGTACACCGATCCCGCCGCAGGTGCCGATACGCAGGAAGACCGGATCCTTGCACTTGGCGTAGTGGACCAGCTTCAGCAGCTCGTGGAGCACAACGCTGAAGGTGGAGGAGCCGACACCGTGGCTGACACAGATCACAGGTCCCACCTTGTACATTGCGTAGCGATGTCCCTTCTTGCACAGATCCACAGGATCGCTAGTGTCCTCCACACCGAACAATTTTCGCAGATATTTCGCTAATTGCAGCATACGTATAGAGGTACCACCCGTTAAGATAAACTGTGGAGATGGTATCCTGATTGACTCACATTCGATTGATTGACCTAAGCCTTACCCTGACATCGCCAAACTGACTCTGAATGTCCCTGGTGTCCTTGGTGTCGGCCACATTAATTGCCAGATGGTACAAAAAATCGGTTGACATGCCATCTAGGTGGTGATTCTTCAATTGTATGCTGTTGATAAGATGGTACTTGTTCAGATATCTGTGTATAGCCGGTCAGTTTTATGGTGTCTTACATTTGCGACATTGTCCGTAAGCGTTGCACGTGCCTAGAACTAGCATAGGAAAGAAATATACAGTCACGGAAAAAAGTGAACATACCACCCATTTTTCAATATTTCGGGTTTTTGCAATGAAAATTTAAGTTTTTGGTATGCCATTATTTATGACAGTTACAGCTATCATTATTATCATTATTTGAAAAAATATTTACAAAAAGTTTTTAGGAAAAAAAATAATCTGTTCACGGAAAAAAGTCAACATACAGCGTGGGTAGTCCCTCTATGAATTAACACTGCCAAGGAAAGCGGCTACGTTCACACACTCTCATTGATCAGGCCTTCTTGTTGCCAGCGTGTTGCCAAATTGATAATCTTATCTATATTTTTCCACTAAAAGCTCATTTAATAATATCAACACACACAAATATGTATATGCAATATATACATACATATATTATTTTATTTAGAACTAGGAGGGGCTCGTCACCTACTATGCGACACTTGAACGCGACTGACTGCTGGACGAGGTTGTGATCGCGTCGACGGCTGGCAGAGTACTGAACTGAAATCGTTGAAGTCGTCGCCATGCGATGTCATGTTTGGAACAAAGATGTACAGACAATGCTCAACGAGGAGTTGGTTACGCAGTTTAACAGCGACCAAGCGAAAGATAACATTGAGAAGGCGCAAGAGAGTCCCAGAGAACGATGATATATTATCATCTGGGACAGATGAAGATGAGCAGGAGGGCCGAATGTAAAGGACAGTGTATCAAGCAGTTAACACTATCCCATCTAAATTAACATTCGAAGTTAAGATACCATCGATAAGAACTAACCGATATAGCCGGACTTAACCGATGTTTAAAAGACCTAACCGATAAGGGGTTATCGATATGGGAGTGGGTTTTTGGAAGCAGAAGCGAAAAGTTGATTAAAAGTCGGGAGAAAACAGTCAATAATGGTACCCTTGAAATTATTAATACACCATACTTTAATATAAATCTGACATATATATACTTTTAGAAGTCGGAAACGCTCTCTTCTGGGCGTTACACACATCCACTATTTTGAAGATATGAGAAAAAGGTACGAAAAGGGGAAACACTGACTGAGTAGCGGTTATATGCAGTTCAGGGCTTATCTTCCAATTGCACTCGCGCAGCAGCAAAACGGGTCTTTCTCACAAATAAATATGTATGTACATTGTACATTTATAAGCTATCCGACGGTAGACGATCATACACTTCTTCAAATGGATGGAACGCTACATGAGCCGCTTCACGTGACAAAACACCCAAGACGTGCAGAATCGGCAAAAGTACGTGTCTAGGCAGCCCAACAACGCGTGCTTGAAGAATGTTGGGTCTAAGCCGCTGCGCAATACATATCATACTATATACATATGTAAATAAACATGCATATGTAAGTAACATTTAATAATTAGGGGCGCATCAACGGCTCTTGATGGAGGGCTTTAACATTTGGTATTGTATTGTATTGATAGCTAGTGGCTTAATTATTAATTGCCATTACACACAGAAGAGTGTCGTGTATTTCATAATAATTGAATAATTGTTTGAAGACGCCCCTCCACATCACATATTCATCCCCGAGAGCCTCCTGAATGGTCAAGTTTGTGTAGCCATACGGATTCAACTGGTAGCAGTATCAATAAAAAGCTGTGACTGCGAGAATTAAACAACATGTACATATTTTCTAGATGATTTCCATTAGGGCAACACTCACCGCATTGTGTGGATGCTTCTAAGGATCTTAAGTTGTTTCCAATATGTTCAGATTAGCTGTGAAAATTCAGGTAAAACACTAGTTTTTTTCCAACAAATTTGATTTAAAATGCAATTGGACCTCTCACCTTAAGGATACCTTTTTAAATAAAAAAATCATAAGAAACATCATGCTGCTGCTTTTAACATTACGGATTGTGGATGGATTGTTGCTACAGCTCCATACACACATTGAACGCCAATAAAAGCAGGAAAAGGATGTGACGCATCTCGGGATATTCTTCTTCGCTCCTCAACATATATTCCTCTCCGAGGGCCTCTTGAATGGTCGCGTTCATAGAGCCATAGGGGAACAACAAATTAAAGTAGAAACGCCCATAGAGAAATATGGCTACGCTCAGGGAACTGGAGAGAAGAATTAAGCAAGGCTTTACCAGACACAAGGTTCTCTCAAATCGAAACTTACTCCATTTACACGTTGTCGACACGAGCTCCAGCTCAATAAGTATAGTCTAATTCTGAAAATCCAGCTCAATGCTGCTATGTTGTACTATATTACAAAAATGAGAATTTTTTATTATTTTGGTAAGGGTAATTTCAAAAGTAGGCCTTTCTAGGACTGTCAAACGTATCGGAAAATTGTGAGTCAATTCTTTGTAGAAAAGCAAGATGAAATGCAGAGAATCAGCAGACCAAGGAGCAGTACCAGCAGAACCAACCAGCAGCAGTGGACACAGCCTCTGGCTCTGGCTGGTTTAGGGGCACAGGAACAGGCCATCTACTTGCAGCTCTTAACAGCACATGGGTGCATTAAATACCACCTACATAGGTTTAAAAGCGAGAAGGATCCGTTTTGCATCCACTGTCCATGGACAATAGAAGACGCTGGCGGTCCCAGATTTTCTACTGACCGGGAAGAGCTAATCTTAGGCATTGGGAGGCCTCTTTAATGGATATCCTACTACTAGCAGCTTGAAAAACAATTCCTATTATATAGTATCATGTAGAAATGAAATTTTGTAGCATATTTTTGGGTGGAGTTCGGATGTTGAATCCATTCAATTCAATTGAATTGTAAGATTCGTGTTAGAAATGCCATGTGGTCAGAAACATCCTCCCTTGACCCTTATTGATACCCTGATGATGTGCTGTAAGATGTGATTCTATCAGTGGATTAAATGCCGTAAGGTCGTACTGTATCACCAATAAAAAATATATGGACAACAGACTGCCTTCCTACATTTAATTCTGTTTTAGTCATGATTATCTATACTTTCTTTCTTAATTATTTAGCCCCCATTGAATTTGAACGTTTGTGTCATTTAAATACAATTTGTTTTTAATATACTGTTGAAATATTCATAATTGTTGTAAACTTCGTTTTTACAATATAACTTGTATAATTTTTAGAGTGCCTATTTATGTTTGTTTTTCAGCATTTTGTGGTTGATTTTGTTTTGGATTGATAGAATTTGATAGAGTAAGATTAGCTGTTGGTTTCGTTATACAGTATATAGGCTTGAGATAAGTTAGCAACATTAATCAACATTTACATTTAACCAATGTTTAAGAATTACAATACAATTGAATTGAATAATTTATGAAATATTATTTTAGGTTCATAGTTCCTATTTTTTATGAATCCATTCATTATTATCGATTAGCTCCATATAGAATATGCAACATAACAATTAACAATTTTTTTTTTTATTTGATCTATTTGTTATTAGCTTTGTTCTTCTTTTTCGAAAACCATTTTGTGATTTCATTTATTATTGATAACCTTTGATATATGTTTATCTAAATATAAACGGTTACACGATATACGATATACGTATTAGATTTTTGTGGGACGTAGGGAACGCAGTTCAGCATTTTATTGCTAAATGAATATACATACAATATGCTTGGGTTTAAATAAGCTAATGAGGTTGATATACACGGAAATGAAACTAGGAACTTAAGCAGAGCTAAACTAGGGAATGTTGAAACACCATTGTATACTGGAGAGATGCGACACCGATATTCGTAGAGGGTATCCTCAAATGATAGGGACAGGCAAGATGATCGAGTGTCTACTCGTGGGCCTGGGACTCCTGCTGGACGAGCTTGAAGCGACGGGGCGACTTTATCGATCCCTGATGCCCGAACAGATTCTTCAGCTGGCCGTCGCGGGTTAGCACCTTCCTTATGTAGCGTGCCACAAGTATCTGGGGGCGCTGTGGGTGTGTGAATGATAAATGATATTGGGTGAGCGTTAATTCAGTCAGACTTGATTTCCATCGCTCCTCACCTGCTGCCACTCGTGCAGGACCTCTTTGGGGGCGTTCACCTGATCGCCGTTCAGACGATTCAGAATAGCCACACAGACGACGGCTGCCTTAATGCCGGCATGGTGGGTCAGGGCTGCGAAGATGGTGCTCTCCATTTCGATGTTGACCACACCATGGTCGCGAAGCTTCTCCAGGTAGGCCATCTTATCGTTCTCGGAGAACTCGCAGAAGGCGCCATCCAGGCGGCCCTGGCCCTCGTAGAAATCATTTGTGCACTGGGTCTTGCCGATGATGGTGTCATAGGGATCGTCGGCACTGTGCAGGGATTTCAGATCACGGGCCAGCTTCTTGTCCAACTTGGCCGGACGGTGCACGGTCTCGCCAAGAATGGTCTGCAATGTATGGAGTGTTGTATTTTCGATTGGATCATAGAGCTTTTAGAGGACTTTTACTTACGAATTCATGGGAATTCCTAAGCTGACCATCCAGGGCATCCTCGGTGATGATGACAGTGCCGCCCTCCACTCCGATGCCGCCACAAGTGCCGATGCGTATGAAGATCGGATCAATGCACTTGGCATGGTACATCAGCTTGATCATCTCGTGCATCAGAATGCTGACCGAGGGCGTTCCCATGCCGTGACTGACACAAAGCACAGGACCAACTTTGTACATCGAGTAGCGATACGAGTAGGCACTGATGTCCTGCAGCTGGGTGCCAGCGGGCAGCTTGTAACCTATCTCGTCCATAATGAAGTGTGCAAAGTTCTCCATGCGCTTCGGTGTTCCGCCCATGCAAACGAACTGGTCAGCGTTATATGAAAATATATGAATAGTTCAGAAAGGTAAATAATTGTAAAACACAAAGGGGACAGGGGGATCCCTGCAGGGGAAACTGCAATATCAAGTTTCGTTATTAGGATTGTTAATTAATTTACCAATTAATAAGACTGAAACATATAATGAAGTGAATTCCATTTGATGTGATAATAAAACAGGGTCTAGGTCTGGTCTTGTCCCTCATTATCCGATCAAAAACTCGAATGAATAATGCATAGTGCAAAATTTGGTAGTTTATCTCACCTTAACATCGCCAAACATCTCTTGCAGATCATGACTCTCACTGCCCAAAGCCAGATGATAGAGAATATCCTGGTCCATCAGCTCAATGTTCGAGTTGCGCAATTTGACAGTTCCATCAGAGTATCTGCGAAATAGAGGCATACAAATTAGACACCAGGCCACCAATTATAGGGTATATAAAGGCAGATACTCGAAGTATATGTGTACGAGCTCCACTCAACTTTCAACCAAATGTAAGTCTATTATTAACACCGAATCGAAGCGAAACTCATTAAAATTCGTGCTCTGATTTGACATAGTTTTATACTGTTATCTATTTCGGAGAAATACGAGTAGCGTAGATAAAAAAAAGTGTCAGTGGTTTAATGAGTCTTTTATGGGAAATGTTTCGTCATCGATGCTATGTGATATGCTATTTGAAAGAGAGTAAAACCACCGCGATTCGGTGTACTATGCAAACAATCGATGACTAAATAAACAAAGCGGATTTCACTTCTCTAATCAAACTTTGCATAATGGAAATGTATAGGAAGGCAGCGCCCGAAATTTGCCAACGCGCCCCCCCACAGTCATTATCAAGTGCGTCAACGCCGAAAAAATATACATACACACATATATGTTTGCCCAAAAAAAGAAAACAAGTTCCAACTGTGAGCAAAACAAATGGCAAAAACACTCTGTGACATAAGCATAATCAGAGAGTCTCTCGGCAAAGTCTTGACCTTGATTGATAAGGTTGATAATCTTATAGTACGTATACAAATGAGCAATTTCCTAAGTACTTGAGCAAACATCCGATCATAATGCTGTGCTTTGACGCGTTCTGATTGATGACTATTGAAACCGGATCAGTACGGGCAGGAAGGGTGTTTGGCGGTCGGACACACCCCCACTGGCAAGAGCAAATATTTGGCCAACTGTTCTGTGCCTCTGTGTCGTTTGGTTTGGCTCTTTGCATGGCTCTTCCGAGGTATCGTTGCTTCTTAGTATCTTTACCATCCGAGTGCCAGCAGAGCGATGTGTCATTATGCCAACTAGATACTGCATTGCGCATTCCTTTACATAGAGCATCTATTGGCTGAGTCACCAGGTGGTTCGATGGCCCGCCAAGGACCCCGAACAACCCCCGAATCCTGCCAGACGGCAGCTGCTGTCTGAAGTTTGAACCTATGCCAACCCAACCGGTTTTCGTTCTTTTTGCATCCTTACCTCGTGATTCTCTGCACGTATGCATCGTCTGTCTCTCCATCCTGCATATGGGCGAGATCGTAGTGGGCCTTAAAGTCATGCGACTTGTTGGCAGTGATTGTGGGTGGCATGATGTCACCGTGTCCTTACAGCCTTCTAGCCACTAACGGACTTATAAAAACGCACTCAAAGAGAGGGACTAAACCCGAACACGAAAGCAGAAACCGATGCGAACAAGCGATGTATACACGTCAACGTTTCAAGCGAAACAAAAAAATTGTTCACTGCTCCGCCGGGTCTTATATACCCGGGCTAGCCGAGGGCGGGTACGAGCGCTCTTAACGAGCGACTACGAACGGTACGAATGGTGGATGGGATGATGAATACCGTTGGATGTAGTCGCTCTGTCCGAGAAACGGAAGTTCAGATGTCACTTATGCTGCGCATTTTGATTTGTACAGATCTTAATAAATGCCACATGACATGATGTAAGGGTCACGGTCAATTCTCTCTCTCTTTCTCTCTCTCTCTGTCTCACTGATAGCAATCAGCAGCCACAGCAGACGCTGATCAAGTGCAATTTATAGCTGTCTCAGCCACGGAATGCAGCGAAACATAACAAATTTGCGTAATCCCTATTACAAATTGCAATATGTATGTACTCGTGTATAAATGTAGGCGTGTGCCCAATTACAGGGTGTTCTGTGCGGCAGACTCTCGACGAATCGGATCATTAGCTTTATTCTTAATATATGCTAATTGTGGTATGGAATTTTTTAACTATGCATATTTATAAACTGGTTCGGAGACTTGGCCTATGCTTAAGCTTAACATTTTTCAACTCTGATATTTGCAAATGAGAATCAAACAAACCGAAAATGTGAAAAGTATAATCAATTAAAGAAATGGCCAAAGTTAAGTTTTATATGTATTTATTCTGCTAGTGATTCGCCAGATGTTCATTTCATCACGAGCTCCAAGAATTGCTCCACAACTGCCAGACAGTCAGTCCCCCAGGCCTACTCTCGGCCCTGCGCCATACGATTTTGGTGGGGTTCATCCATATGTATGTACATATGTACATATATAAGTACTGTGGGTAAATTCAAGCCGAGTCATAAAATATACATAAGCGAAGCGACAGCGAAAGACAGTCCAAAGAGGAGCACAATGTCTGCACATAAGCCAGTGAATCGACACAAAAAGTAGAAAGGAAAAGAGTCAGCACAGCAAAAAGGGAACTTGGAAAAAAAAGAAAAAATAAAGAAAAACAAGCAAGAAAGAAAGTCTAGCTTGGGGCCTGAGGCTCCTATGTACCCTTTCAGATGAAATTTAGATATACATATATAATATAAAAGGATTGGGCTATAGGGAGATTGTTAATCATTGATCATTCTACGAATTAGAATACCACAGGACACTATGGTATTTTGGATTACCTTTAAAACTGAGATGCTATGCAGGGCGCTTACCGAACACGCTTGCAGACGAAACTCGTCTAGTGCTTTACACTGGGAAAAATGATTTGCAGTTTGCACTAGTTCGTGCTAAAACTTTCGTGTTAAATAAAACAAAAGCTTTTAAAGATGTTATCAAGTGTGGTCCTTCTTTGTCGACGGCTGAACACCCAACTGGTGTTTACGCTCTGCCAAAAAAGTGAGACAACAAGAGCCGAAGTCGCATGACCCAGGCCAAACGAAGGCCTGCAGTTTTTTTTAGTGCATTGCAGTGCAGCAGCAGCGACTTTTCACAATAGGTAGGGCCGTGCCGACCCGTGACAAAGGTATATTGTTTCGACAGAGCCTCTAGACCTAGTTTCGTCATCAGAACCACTCGGATACCCCATATATAAGCAATAACTCTAACCTTGAACGATAAGGTTTAATACAAATAAGATAGAAGCATATGTAATTTGTATCTTCTTGAAGTGCCTGCTAGCTTAAAATACCCCTCACTAGGGTATCTTAAAAAGAGCAAAAGCGCCAGCAAAGCAATGAAAACGAAAAGGGGGCTCGCCTGTGCTTGGACATATCGGCAGAGACAGGGAAAGAGAGGCAGATACAGATTGGTATGCCGAGAGCTATGTACGTGAACTAGCTCGCAAGCTAAATTTTTGAGGTCGCCAACGACGCCAAACACTCACAGCAATAGCATCGCAGCGGAGAGCGGAAAGAGGTGGTATTCAGTTAATGCCAACCGTAATTAACTTGGCCGATTCCCCGTAACCGACAGTTGGTTCATTGATGGACTTTGCCTGCCATTAAAGCCATACAAAACCCGTTATTTATGCAAGCAAATGCAAGCCGAGCTAAATGTATCAAGTGTTTTTCTCAATATTTGTTTGGATAACGGTTTGAAAGAGAAAAACTCATTGACAAAACAAGTAAATCGAGCTGAAGTACGGATCCCATTTCGGAATTCGCTGTCTCATGGGAAAACAAGACTGAAACTAGACCATTTCAAGTCTTTCCTTTGGGTCATTTTACTTGAGTGCTTTCTGTCGACGACGACGACGCCGACTCGACTGTCTGTGGCAGCAACAAATGTCAGTGGCAGCCACTAGCCGTGTCCTAAACTGAAATACTTGATCTATTTCTGTAACCCTATGCGAATGCCCATCCCCACCTTGGCCTACAGCTGACCCCAGGGCGGGGGAAAACCATCTGCGAGCTTATGAGTCGTGAAAAAGCTTTGAATAAATTTCTCACATGTCACGTTACGGCGCAAATCATTAATCAGGGAGCTTTAAATGGATCCTATGTTGTTCCTTATGGAATACACACAATGTTCTCCTACTGCCTGCTGCCAAGTGGAAAAAGTAATTGCATTTCCCTGAACAAAGCCATAAAGGTCTTCTGGCTTCTGCCTGCTGGCTGCTGGCTGCTGGGGTACCGATAAGACCTGGTTGGGTAATTATTAAGAGTAAGGTCAAGCCAAGAGTCAAACAATGAGGCTGCCTGTAAAACGAGAAATTCAAATGATGCTGGGGATAGTGCAGGCGGCTTCGAGAGAATTACTTTCCCCCAAGAAATGAGAAATGAGAAATGACAAAGAGAAAGCAAAAGTCTGCCAAGTCACGTCATGCTGTCACCCTAATCGTATTCATCCCAAATTGCATTACTCACAGGCCACTGGGAACGCCTCTGGAATGGGCATCGGGTCCAATCTTCTCTGGCTAGGATATTCCAAGGCCAATCGATAATTGGTTCTGTATTATTTTGCTCGTCCTAGAACTTTCTCGGCTACTGTGCGTATGAGTAATGGCAGAAAACCACCCACGTACTACCCCATCGTCTACCCACAATTCCGGATAATGCGTGGGCCTTGGGGGCCGATAAACAAACGCCTGTGGCTGTCGACTACCCCATTCATATCCCTTCGACCTTGTGCCCGCCTACGCCTACGCTCCACTGCAGGTCATAATTCTGTAGAAAATTTGGTCCTAGGCACATCTATTTATAAACCCATTGCTGATATCTGAATGAGCCAGTAATTAAAGGCAATTTGTGTGTGTTTTGGGCTATTGTGGCATTAGGCTTAAGTCAATTAGAAATGATTTGGCTGTCATCAAGGGGGATTTTCTTAATTAGAAAAGAAGGGATCGTGGAAAAATCTACTGGTTGGTAGGTTCCCACTGGAAATTCTCCTAAAATTCTTGGGACAATTGTGGTATACTTTTTGGTTCAAACAAAAGTATATTTGAGAAATTTCTAAATTTTACAAGGTATACTTTTAGGAGACTAAATTCACGAAAAAAATTAAATACAACTTGGAAAGATTTTTTACAAGATTTATAAGATAATATCTACCGACTTGGAACATAAGGATATGTTATGAAAATATCAACAATAACATTCAGGTAAAAGGAATTTCTTTGGCAAGTTTTTAGGGTGGCCATTATTTCGCCCAAGTTGAAATTTACGGCACCAGCATTGTTCTCCTTTCTTGACAGAAAACATTTTCTGGTGATGCAAAACAAAAACTTCAAATGAAGTTAAAGGAAAGTTGAAGCCGTGCAGTTAATTTTGGGCCACAAACTTGGTTAGTTTTATGGTTTCCGGGGGGTGGTATTGTGTGGTATGTACTTACTCGTCCAGCTCCTCGTCGGAGAGGGAATTGCTGATGCCGGTGAGCAGCAGCGACATCTTGCGGCGGGACCCTGTAAAAGAGAAATTAAATGAAAATGGAATTTTAATAGCTCGCACTGCTAAAGCGCAAAGTGAAGGCGTGTTTTAAATGTAAAGCCCCCTCTTGAGCCCCTGCTGAGACCATTTAAATGCGTGCCACAGGGAGAACGGGGCGAGGGGAAACAGTGGCAAAACGGAAACGATGGAGGAAACAGTGGCAACAGCATTTGGACAGCTTTTAATTAAAAACGTCAGGGAAACGTCACGTGCCAATGTTAAGGCCTGGGCGTGTTCGTGTGGGGCAGCATCAGATCTGAGTCCTTGAGCCCTTGAAACGTTTGCGACTAGCAAAATGTTTTGGGGTCGGCTTAGCCGTTGGCAATTTCCGCCGCAGGCCATGGCCTCCCCCAAAGTTAGGCCACACTATGCGGCAAAATGCGAGTATCTTTCTTGTTTGTTCGAGGGTGAAAGTTCAAGGCTAACAACAATTAGCCTGACCAAACCCAGGGCACTCAAGAGTGCCCTTTGAGTGGCAGTGGCGTGGAGGGTCCCCGAATTTGTCCAGTTTGCTGATTTTTGTTTTGGAACAATATTTACGAGGCTGCTGATTATGTTTTGAATTTTAAATGAGAACAAGCAGACGCGACAGAAGCAACAGAATGACAACAAAACTGTTGCATATGCCTCCAAGGGTCTGTGGGGGATCCTTAGAAGGGATTAAAGTCTTTAGAAAGCAATATTTATGAATAGGAAATTGCAAAAATATTTGCATAATCCCCATTCATTTGTGATGCGTACCCTCGTACCCCAACCCTCGTGTATCCTCGTTTTTTTATCATGTCATAAATCACCCTTGTATGGCCCAGACCTATCTACCCAGCGATTCTGCTGACTACGGACTACGTTGACCCATTAAATGGCATAGATTAAAGTCTTGAAAGCGTTTGTTGAACCATGAAAGAATGCGAATGCTCAGCTGATGATGATACACACAGAACGGCAGAGCACAGAAAGGGTGGCTAGAAGCCCTTAACGTCGTTCTCGATAACTTTTTCATTAGTTGGAGCACCGTTGCCTACAAAACATCTGGGACCCAGATACATTCCGTGCATTTGTGTGTATCCTGGATAACACTTGGAATCGAGCTATTGATTTTCTACCCCAAACAGTCCGACGGAGTCTTAGTCTACACACGAGAGCAGTCATTTCAAAGTAGTTATAAGGTAAAGGTGTTCCTAGTCTGTTGACTTACGTAAAGAGTTGGGAGTTGATATGTGGGGCTCCGTGTGCCTCGAATCGGTCGGTAGCTATGGCTGCCAGATGCAATGGAAGAAAAGCAATTTAACACAATTATTTTTGTAGCTATATCACGATATTCTTTTGTTGTTTCGATGTGCTTTTCTGCATTGTTTATCTGCAGGCACGTGAAAGGAACTTTCTCTCTTTCTCTATCTCTCTCTCAGACACTCACACGTACCACGGCACGAACACAGAAGCGGACAGGAAAGAGAGCGCCACCAGAGCTGCGCGAGAGTACAAGACAGACTGACGACGAGGAGTCCAACCAAGCGAATATGTTGGCTCTGCTCTGGCTATCACTCAATCGGAATTTAGCTCAACTTTGAGGCGGAAAAGCGCCGAGCAGATTCACTCAAATGCTGCTCGGCAAATTGTTGTTTATGGTGCATGGAAAAATTTAATTATATTCTGCAAATCCGCAGTCGCACCGAGCTGGTAAACGTCAGCAAAGATATATGTATATAAACTATACAATTTTCTCGCAAATCTCACTCGGAGTCGGGTGGCGAAGAGTGGGCATTAGGGGGCTAGGTGGGTTCATTCCATGCAACAGCTGCTGCGCACAAAGAAACCCAACCTCCGTTCATCCTTGCTGTCCTGTCCAAGTCCGTGTCTTAATTATTGTGCTGAGGGGCAAGGACTCACAGAGAGGATATACAATCTGGAGTCGACTGAATTTAAGGATATCTTTAAGCTTTGATTAATGATGCTACAGTCAGAGGAGGCCTTGCCGATTTAGTTATGTCATATGAACTTTCTCACAGTACGAGGCATTAATATTATTTAGCATTGACATTTACGATACAATATGGATACCATTTTGGCCATAAAGGGGAAGGATTTCGTCCTTATATCCGCTGACACAGTGGTAGGCAAAGGCCTAATAGTGTTGGGTCAAGGTTAGCTCGAATGGCTACGTTTTGGAATGCATTTACTCATTTAAGACCATATTCCAGGCAAATCAAAGATAGAACGCCTCGGTGACTTTGCCATGATTGCTGCCGCGGGCAATGGAGGAGATCCGCAACGTTTTATGAGCTTAATCGCGAGGCACATGGCTTTGCATAGAGTGCAACATAATGGACAAAGTCCGTCCGTGAGGAGCATGGCTCACTTTGCTGGCAAACAGATATATTCAAGTGTGAATGCGAATCTCAACTTTAAGGTCTCTGCACTGATTGCTGGGTGGGATCCACAGGCGGGACCTCAATTGCATCAAATCGATGAGTTCGGGGGCTTAGTGTCCGTTCCATATAGTGGCCAAGGTTTGGGACTGCCCGTATTTAACTCCATTTTCCAAAAAGACTACTCGCCAGACATTGATGAACCGACAGCCTACCACGTCTTGAAGAAATGCGTGGCAGCAGTCCATGAGCGTGTCGTTCTCAACATGCGCAACTTTGAGGTGTTCGTGGTGAAGGCAAATGGCATCACCGAGCTGGAAGCTATCAATGCGGACTCTTTAAAGACGGCGCCGCCATCGAGTCTTTAAAATATTGATTTCGTCCACTTCATACAAGTCGGATCTTTACCCTCAATTTGCCATCTAATAAATAAAATGAACCAAAATCAAATTTAATGCCTGCGAAAGGATATCACGGAGAGAACTCAGGACTTGCCCTGGTTGAAATGGATATCGCAGAGCCCTGTTTGCGGTAAACTTTTAATGAGCATTTTTAACGGCATTAAAGGTGTTGGCAAATTGCATTCCGAGCCTCATTTGAGCTTACCCGAGGGGGGCGCAGCGTACTCAATTTAATTAAATATTGCGCATACGCCGTGTTATAGGTCCCATGCAAACGCATCTCTATAGCCCATAAAACAACGAAAAATGTCTGTATTTGTGCCTTTATTTGTTTATTTATGCTGCTCGTAAAACGTTTTCCATTGAAGCGAATTGTGGATTTTGTTTGCGAAAGAATTTCATAAATCCGCGAAGCAGACATTTTTCCCTAATGGAAAAAGCTGCATGAAGTGGAAAGATATGAATGCTTGTGTGGATGTTAAATGGTTGTTTCTGATGTGTGAAAATTCAAATCATGATCTGATTTCAAAGAGTGATGGAAAATAGCTTTTAAAGGTACGTTTTTCTGAAGAGTTTAACAAACAAGAATGTTTTATTATATCTGGATAAATGCTTTAACACCTTTAGAGCCATTTATCTTCCAATGCCACACAATTGAGTTTCCACTGTCTAATCAAAACAAACAAAACGGTTTCCTCCTTCTCGAAATGTAAGTATTTCTATTTGTTTACCAGAAATACTGCTTGTTTATACCGAAACAGTATTCGTTCAATGCCAAGGTGATGATGTGGTCCCCACACAAGAAGAATTTGTAGCTCAGCAACGGAATAATCATAAAGTTCTATAACCTTAGATGAGATCAGAGGTTGTCAGTGGGTTTAATTAATCCTAATCAATAGTGCGTATGACTTTAATTTGACATTGACATTCAAATGGTACTGTTTTATATGTATTGCCTAATATCTGAGCTTTCACAGACACATGCCCCATGCCTCACGCTTGACTGCGGCTCAGACGAACAGACCGACGGACGGACAGACATGACACCAACATGAATTACGAACACCAACTACGAATTACGTTGGACAAAGTAGTCCATAAAACAAGTGAATTAAGAGAGCGAGAGAGAGGTAGAGTAAAATTTAAGCGGCTGTTAAATTGTTTGCTTTGATGAATTTTCAACAATCGCATTGAGTGCGCTGTTTGATGGCTCTGCAAGTCGTCAAGTCACTCATCCATTGAGCAATTTCCCCAAGTGACAAGATATAAATGCTTGTAGCACCGCTTAAGTTTCCATTTCACTGAATAACAAGAGCAAATCTTACTTTTGGGAGCCGAATCTGAATCTGTTGATACTCTTAAAGATCCACCAATCCTATGAACTTAGTTGAGCTATGAGGAAGAAAAGTTTGTGGAATTTTTATAGATTTTCTTCAGAACAACAAAAAGCTTTTGCCACAAAGATTTTGTCTTGGATGCGCTGCAAAACTATCTACTAGGTCATAATATCTTCTCGAAGGGTATAGTAGCAATTAAATCTTATCACTCACAAAAGCACGCAATGGCCAAGACATTGTCCATACGCAACGTTGACTGCCTTGGATCAACAGTTGAGAACCAAGCATATGGCGGCTGTTTCAAGGACATTCGAAAGGCTCTGCATCCCTAATGGAATCCATAACCGATAGGAATTTTAATATCAGACACGTGTCAATGGGAGACATGAGTGTTTCCTGCGTGACAGACACCAGTGGGCACACAAATAGACACACACTCTTACACAGATCGACGCTCATTTCGCTCATCTATTTGTCAGATACTCATGATTTTCCATCCCATTTCCCTTTGACGTTTCAAGAGGCATTTTCAATTCCTGTTTGCATACAGGAAAATGGTTGGAGGCACAGCTGTTGTTGACCACTTCCATTGAGGGTGTCGCCAAGGGGGGTGGCTGGGCCTACATCCAGGTTGACACTCCTGCCACCACGCCCACATTCCACCACGCAAAAGCGGAAATGTTGTCCCTGGCAGCCCCTGACGTCTCATGCGTCTGAGCAATTGTTACGTAATCAATCTGCTTGCTCTCTCTCCTACGCTCTCTCCCACTCAGTTCGCCTCTCTCTCTTTATCTCAGCTTTTTCCGTGCGCCCAAGTGCGTTGAACTTGGCCCATTTTATGGCGTAAGTTTGAGTGAAAATTCAGCAATTGAGGCAACATTTTCGTCGGAACAAACTCAGGAATTTGTTTTCGCCATTGGGGGACACGTCTGCGCCCATTTCTCGGTCGGTGGTTGGGTGGGGCGTCGTCGTCCCTCTGGGGAGGCGTCAAACAAAGTGCGAGCGTTAATCTTCTAGCCGCTTATGATGCTTATGGTATTTGTAGACGCAGCGGGCACTGTGGAATATATTCCGCTGAATTTGCAAGCATACATTTTAAGGAAGAAGGCCTGCCCGAGTGTAGGTAAGAGACAAGCCTACATCGAATAGAAATGGAAAAAATATTCACCACATTCGATTAAAAATATTCTACCGACTAGAGCGACGGTCGGAACAGCAAGGGCTTGTTGTTCAGCGAGTTACGAATGGCCTCAATCATGGCCTGTATCTTCCGCAGATCTCCGCATATATAAAGCCTTACGGACTCCTAAAGGTTGTGCTCTACTGTCTCGCAAACCTCATTTGGGTCTTCAGGCTTGCTCTCAAGCTGCCCCACTACCTCTTCCAAGGTCAGTTTTGTTCACGTCCAGTAGAGCTTGAGCCACTAGTTGACCATTTTCATTGACTTATAAGTAAAATTGTCTGTGAAATAAACTAAAATAAAACATATTTTAATTATAAAATGCAAGTTGAAAATAGTCCTCTGCCAGAACTGTTGCACAGCCACCAGAACTTTCGTTCCACTGTCTGACACTTTTGCGACAGGCGACAGTTTTGTGGTAAGCGGAGACACTTTGCTAATGATGTCAGTTCGCTGCTCCTTTGGGAGGCATGGAGGAGGACTTTCCTCATTAAGGAACGAAACTGATTGGTAAATGAAACTCAAAACTGGAATCAAGTTTTGTTGTTGTTTTAAAGATCATATTTACTTCAATCACAGCACAGAATACAGAGAATATTATCTAATGGTTTATTTGTCGCTCGAAAGGAAACTGGAAACGTGGAGACAAGGGAAAACTATTTCCATATGTTGTGTGTGTGTGTGTGTGAAAGGAGGAAGCGTGGTGTGATGTGTGTTTGTTCTGTAAATTACGAGACGGATAGCGAGAGAGGGAGAAAAGTGGCAGAGAAAGTCAAGCAAGTGCGGAAAAACAGAGCAGAAACTGTGGAAAAGAGCAGTGTGCCTATGCGCGGTAGGAGGTTGTCTATCTTTTAGAGATTTGTATATAATTGTTGACATGTATATTTTGTAGTTGGGTTACTTAATGTTTTCATTTTTTTGTTCGTTTTTGTTCTTTTGGATCATTAACACACAACTAACATTGAGAGTATTGTTGAATATGCAAACACGTTTTGTATGTATATAGGTTGATGTGTTACGTTGCGTTATGTCTAGGTTTAGTTTAGTTTTAGTTGCTTACTAGGTTGCTAGTTACAATTGTTGACTTGGTTGTAAGATTCTACTTGAAGATCAGGTTTCCGAAATGTTTCTCTTGTCGTAGTTTCTCTCGTGGTACAGCAGTTGAGTCATTCATGATTGTTGCGAGTTGCAAAGAAAGGCTTTCAAAATAGCTAACAAAGGTGTGGAAAACAGCACAACTTAACTTAGAGTAAAACATTACAGCTAAACATAATCTCTTTTAGGGGCGGTACATATCCCGCGCCCATCTTTGTGCAATTCAAATAAACTATACATATACAATAAAAATTGTTTAAAAATTAGCAGCAGCAGCAGTAGCAGCATTGAGCACTCTCTCCCCTGCTTTCGGGTAATCTCTTGTTCGAGTATGGTATTCGATTCTTGCTAGGAAACGTACGCGCATATGTTGTACAAATAAGAGTATTCAGCCTTCGTCCCTTTGACTAAAAATGCACCATGTATCGTTCCTGTATCCATATTGTTCAATCCTTAACCATATCCTTGGGCCGATCAGTACAGATAGTTGTGTGGAAATACGGCGCGGGCAGGCAGATAGCAGGGATCGTGTTGATTGCGATAGCGACGTGCCAGGAAAACGGCCAAGACCTAAGAGAAAACCAAAGATACATTAGTCTGAGATCATTCGAAGAGGGTTGCATAAGAAAAAGCAAGGAAAATGAAGACACAATAATGCTTAAACATGTCTCACCCTTGGCCTCTGGTCGATTGGGCTTAGTCAAAGAGCCCGGCAGTTGGTTTTTAGTTAGTTCAAGATAAAGAGTGTTAGAATGTAGGGTTAAGAAGGGATTGTTGATTGCTTTATATGGATTAAACACCTGGCTCTCTCCTCCTCTATATATATATATATATAACACTATATCTGTATGAGTGTATATATGTCTAAAGTTGTATTGTATATCAATTACGACCTAACACATTACGTACATATTTCTGCTGCAATGCGATTATATATATCTGTATATATGTGTTTGTAGATGGTATAAATATATAAGATGTATGCAGACCCAAAGAGCTCTCTCTTCTGGTCTATGACCCATGAAATTCTCCCCCACATCCATAGCAACATTTCGCAGAAAGAGAGATACAGGGAGACAGAGATACACACACATAAATCGATATAACTTTGCCTGTTGCTACATATGTCGGGGATATCTATTTCTGTTCTGATTTAGTGAAAAATTTAGAGAAAGGCGCTAGGCAAGCCCCGCGGATCCTTTTGATTGCGATAGCGCACGGTTAGCCAGACGCCAACAAACTAAAGGCAGCATGTGGATGGATGGAGTTTAGATTTAGTTAGTTTACACCATTATATTTCTATGCACGCACCTCGGTGAAGCTGAAGAAGATGCCCAGACCGCCGCACAGCTTGAACGCATAGTCGATCTTGTCCTCCAGCATGGGACCACAAGCGGGGCAATGACAATCCACATCGTTCGACTGTTCGCAGCACTTTCGATTCACCAGCTCACAAGAGGGTTCGTCTGTCGGAGCCAAGGGAGACGTCGGGAGATTGATGCTGCTGGTGGCATTGAAGCCGCAGCAGTGGAGGCTCTCCTGCACCTGTTGCCGCAACTCTGGGGGCACTGTCATCCATCCCTGCTCGGCAAACTGCTGCTGCTGCTCGGAATTGACGGCCAGGCAAGAGCTGGCAATGGAGAATTGGATGAGGAAGAGCATAAACAGGATGATCATGTACTGCGGGGAGAGAAAGAGACAGAGTCTAGGGGTTAAGGAAAGCCACGGAAGCGAATACAAAATGCTTATCAAGAGTGGTGCCAGCGCTGTCGTCATTGCAGTTGAGACCCAGTCATAATTTGCTTTACTCATAATGAGGCCACTTTTCATGTCATTGTTCGACACGAGGGCCACGACCTTCGGCTCTATGTGGAAATCGCTTTCAGTGCGTGCGCTTGCAAGGTTTTCTTGTGGTTGAAAAGGATACAAAGAAGAGCATCACTTGATGGTGCTTCACAGCGCCGGCGAGGCCCAGCATGGAGATGCAGATGAGTATTACGCCGCAAGCCAGGATGCCGCCCACAATGGGCAGATTGGTGACAATGGAGGCGGCCCGCGCATAGACCCCCACGCCAATCAGCAGGAAACCAATCATCTAGTGGGTAGAGAGGAGAGGAGCATAAGTATTCAAGATGTGCACTGGAGGTCGACTATTTTCAAGAGGAACAACAGGCAGACACAAAGCCAGCAGCAGGACGTATGGATACATACACGTACACATACACACACACAACGAATGCATGTGCGTGTGTCTGCTGCACCTGCCACAAGAAAATCAATAAAAAGCCATTAGGCGCTGTAATTTAATAATCTTCTCGTAACACAATCGTTATTGTTGCTTTTGCTGCTGCTTTTCATTTGTTGTTCCACTTCCTGGTTGTTGTTTTTGTCACTGAGGTTTTCTGCATTTGTTTGTTTTCCTGTTTCCTTACCACATACAAAATGTTGAGCGCTATGAGCGCATTCTTCGAGCAGGTGAATCCTCCGCACATGTTGCAGCACACTTTGGTCCGGCTGGAGATGAATTTAATTTAATTTAATTCACTTTATTTATTTCCCGATTTTCTCCGTCGCGCAATTTTCACTGATTTTCGATAAAAAATACCGTGCGACCCTCAGGAATATACCAAAATATACCGACTCATATGAAAATATACCGTAAATACACTGACGAAGTCAAGTTATATTTTACATATTCCTCGTTTTTTATCTTCCGTCGAATATTACTAGCTATATAGAACATTTAGCCATGCCCACATAATTTTATCCGATTAATGAATCAATTTTCTACTTAACTGGCTTATTTTTAATACTTGCTTTTATTGGATTTGGCTTAAAACAAGGTTTAAGCAAAATAGCTCAACAAAAAAAACAGTCGCAATGTTGCTGGTATTTGAAGACATGATGCGTGTATAGGCCTTTGTGCACCCTATTTCGTTAATTTTATGTGAAGATCAAACGCAATTTATTAAGACCTTTTCGCAAATTGATATTCTTTAGACATATTCAAGTACATTATTAGTATCTTGTAAATATTTATAGCGATCCTGATACCTACGGAGCCTTAGAAGACAAACTTATTCACAATTCTATAACATTCATTTCCCCCAGGGTATGTGTGCATGGAATTAGCAACATGTTTGTGTATGGAATGGGACTCATTGTTGCAAAAGCGACCTGAGGCGAATTCAAATTCGATTCAAAAAACGAATTTTGAAAACCTTCAAAATATCGTTGAAATACCTTTAAAATAGAAACTGACTAGTTTTGGCCATTATTGGTGCATTAGATGACAAAAATTCTCTCAGTTCTATAATATCCATTTCCCAGGGTATGCAAAATGTTGCTTAATCCGCGCAATCTTGTGGAACAATGCTGCTCGATTTCACGGCTCATGAGTCTGGCCCATACAAATTAATGTTGCTAGTAACATAAAACGTAAGAAAACGTAAGTGAGTAGAATGTGAAATATACTGTCTCACTCTAAAAATTACCGAAAATTTATCATAATCCTCGTTTTTGATCTTCCGTGGAATATTACTAGCTATGTAGAAACCTCAATCCTGCCCAGATAATTTTATCCGGTTAATGAATCAATTTATTTCTAGACTGGATTATTTAAAAACTTGCATTTATTGGATCTTATCTGAAACTATTAAATTTTCATTAGTTTCAGTGGAGTATTAAAATAACCCCTGGTCTACGATGGGTTAATCCTTCCCCGCCAAAGATTGGAAACCATATTCCACGATTGTGATATTCGATTTGATATTACTAGCTAGCTAGGATTTCCATAACTGAACACATAGTTTTATGGGCTTGATGGATACATTTTCCAAATATATGCTAATCTAAACTACTCACTTTCATTGAGTTTTTTCTAAATTAAGGTTTAAGCCAAAACTGACCCCAAATCAAAAACCGCGAAAAAGAGAGCCTCACCGTTTTAAAAAGAGCAAAGAGAGTAAATAACCGTTTCGAAGAAAGCCATCGATACTATCGACTGGATGCGATTGGCGCGCGCCAAAGAGTAATGATTTGAAAGTGAATGACTGACAAGTATAATAGATTAATGAAACTGATAAAATGTACTAGCAGTGGGTATCGCACAAGAGTATCGACGAGGAATACTAGAGTAATATTTGCTTGCAATTTCAATGTGTATTTCTGGACCCCTTTGATGTTTTTTATCATACAAATTTTATGATAAAAATCATGTAATATGTAATGTAAGATGTATAGTAAAATGTAATGTAAAATGTAAAAATAAAATTATTGATCGATATTGGAAACGATATCATTTATCGGGCGGGAAGTTTGCGCGGTAAAATCTTGATCGTTCCCAATAGTACTGAATTTTCCACTATTTTCATTTTCGAACAACCAACTACGCAATTACTGAAGAACAAGCAACTAATTATGTTGAAATGTCAATTTCCCTTGAGCGGACAAGTGCCGTTAATTGCATTCTACATGCCACAAGCCACGGAAATTCCAACAAGAGGCGAAACAACAACTTCATTGCGTGTCACGGTCAGCGGAGGCCTAGGACCTCCTCATGGCAGCCGCAACGACTACAACAACAACGAGGCGGCATAAATTTATGGCCAAACGATAAGCGCCAGCCAAAAAAAACCCAAACCAAAAAAGAAAAGAGGAATAATCCCAGCGAAGCAGCCCGCGATCGCGCTGCCCAAAATTGGACAAGGAACGTGCGTCGCGCGAGCAAAAGCAGAATTTAGTAGCTGTCAAAGGCATCAGCTGTGGCCCGGGCAACACCTACAGCCCGTGTCCGAGGAGTCAAGTTGTGGCGGTGGGATGGCAGATGCCGGGAGACGAGGCGAATGGCGGGGAGTGGCAGCGGCCTCAGCGGCATCCACACGCAAAGAATGCCACAGGTGAGTCCCAAGCCGCTGAATGTACAGTAGAGACTGGCTAGAGGGGAAATTTTATTGCGGAGGCATCTCTTCTTGGCGATCAAAAATGAAACACTAATAAGAGGCTATCTACACATCGGTTCTCATCGGATGATTAGATTCTTATCAAGCCAATCCCCACTGTAATCCCCTGTTAGCTTAACTTTGTACTTGACTTTGCGTGCAAATGGCAAAAATGCCACAAAATCGTAGAAGGGGGAAATCGCGAGGGGGAAAAGTGAGATACCGATCCCCCAGAGCCGCTGGTGGCCTGTGTGACTCTATAAGGCTGATGCTGTCAGTTGTTTTTAGCCAGGCTCATTGGCAGCTTTATTGGCCCACTCCATATGGATGGGTCCGCTCCGTTTCGCTCTTTGCCTTGTCTGTGTGTATGTGTGTGTGTGTCTGTCTGTGTGTGGGCCAACCTGCATACCAATCATAAATATAAATATGAATCTAAAATGCACTTGCAGGCGTCCCAGACCAATTCGGAGTCGCCTCGGCAACCTCGTTAGCCTTTGCGCTAGTGCGAAGATGCAAAACGGTTCTCGGGACTTGGGCCGTGGTTAGCCTGGTCCTCTTGGTGGTGCTCTTGGTGCTCTTGGTGGGGCTGCTAACAAGATGGCAACACATGAAATTAGACTGCACCGATGCACGGCCAGCGATAGAAGGAGAACGAAGAACTGATCGTGCCCAGAAAACGGCAACAGGAACAGCGAACTAATTAACATATTCAAATATTTGTCGCATTGTTTTCGCCCGTTTCCCAGAGTCTAGTTCTGCCTCTGATCTCTGCTCGTCTCTGCACTTCTCCCCGCCGCCCTCCACCCGCTCTCCCATGCCTGTTGCCTGTTTATTGAAAAACCATTTTACGGTTTCATGCTTAAAAGTCATTGGGAGTGTGCGCCTTGGCCAGAACCACGCCCCATCCTTGGAACCCATTGTGCAACAGCAGCAGAAGAAGAAGCAACACCAGTCGTAGCATCTTCCCTTTTGCATTCTATGGGGGTTTTCTCTCTGTAGACCCGTTGGCGCTATTTTTATCGCATTTTAAAAGGCTATTTGTAGTTGTTCCACCAGGAAGTGGCATAAATTCGCAGCGCATAATGGCTGTGAATAAATTATTTTGCAGCAGCTTCCTCTGGCTGCCTCCGACTATGGCTCTGCTGCCCACCATTGATTGTGCCTCGCCCACAGTGCCTGATAAGCCGCAGAGCACTCTGCTCTGTGCTGCGACTCCCATCTCGAACCAAGAGCCGAACTCTTCTACCTCTGGCTCATCCATTGCGTTGTTCAATGAAATAAGAACAGATGAACAGGAACAATGCACTGGTTACGTAATCACTTACTGCGATTGTTGTCCTGCCTCCCGCCTTCCGACTCCGACTGCTCCTCGTGAGAGTGGCCAGCCGGCGGCCTTCCTTGTGCACTCAAGCAATTTTCACGCACGCCCTCACCTCCAGCCGAGTCCGGGGTGCAGCCTATCCCATGGAGAGCAGGAGGTCTAGGGCTGGGATCTGGGATCCTACTAAAAAATTGAATACGCAGCTATCGCACGCGCAGGCAGGAAAAAGCAAAAGTCCCACAGTTCGCCAAAGCGGAAGCGCTGACCAGGGATTGGGTGCTATTTAACCCTGAGCAAGATCTTGCTTCGATGCCAGCAGGCGACTGAAGAAGGGAGCTATTCGTTCTGTGTGTTTGTCTAAGAAAAAGTGACTAATTGTAGTACAATTTTATACCAAACTGTTGTTCATACATCTCTATCTTTCAGCATTTATTCATCCCCAAAGAGTGAAAAGCAGTGGAAGCGTTGATTGGAATCCTGAGCCGATCTTCATTTTACAGTCTCAAGGATTATCAACCACTGTGTTCAAGAAGTAGTGAAATTGTAGCCATGTTTTTAAGATAACCTATAAATTCCATTTTATCTTTCAGAACTTATCCATTTCCTGTAAGAGAGAAGCAGTGGAAGGATTAATTAAAGATACTTTAAGGTAAGTTTTGAAGACTTTTCTAGCTTTAGTCTTAGTTTCAAACGCCTTCACAATACCATTTAATGTAAGTCAGTTGTGATTTGATCTATCGTTTAGCCAAATTCTAAGTCAAAGTTCATCTTTGACTACCGAATCTTTGGAGTGAAATTGAACTTGTATCGAATGAACCCTATAGATGCTCCTCGGGTCTCTGTAATTGCCGCAAGTCTGGACTCTGGAGATTCCAGAGATACATTCCAATTATTAATTGTTTTCTGGGTTTTTTGTTATTGTTGCGTTCTCTCTGCTTCTCTCTCTGTGGGCAAAGCGAACCTTGCGAATCTAGCGAAGCATCTTCAAACGGTACTGAACCATTTCTCTAATTTCTAATGGCTTTCCATCTCTCTGTATCTATCTGCCTGAGACTCTGAGGAGGGAGTCTTTCGGGCCTGGTCAATGTCCTTTGCCTTTTCGGTTTTGTTTGGGCCTTGCATGCGCATTGCGCACGACGCGTCAGGCAGCCATCCGCAGTCGTTGGATCTCCGTTGGGTCTTCAGCCAGCCAACAAGCCAGCCAGCCAGCCAGCCAGTCCAGATGTTATCCATTCCATTGCGGCAGTGACCCCACCAGGGCCATAAATTCTCACAGTGCCTACACGCCTGCGCCTCTCTACAAATGTTCCAATTTGTATTTTTGCACAAATTGTTGTTGCTTCTTTGGTGCGGTGCTCTTCCTGTTGCGGCAGTGTGGCAGTGTTGCAGTTGCAGTTTTCCTGTGCCCGTTGCTCTGGTTGTTTGTTTAGGTTGCATTTAATTTAATTTGCTTTACCCAATTGGGCTGAGCTCGCAATTAGAGACAAATGTTTTCGGCTGCATTCCTCCGGCTACTTAGCCCCCATGTTCGTGGCAATTAGTTTCCACTGGCCTTCCACATGGCGGGGATATGGCGGCTCTGGGGACATCTGGACACGGGGCGTGTCGTATTGGGTCGTTTGGGACGGTTCAGTTCGATTCGGTTTGGGTCGGGTCGGGAGTCGGGAACCCGGGCGAAAGTTATCTTGGCCAAAAGCACAAACGATGGCCGCCTCGATTTCCCACACGTTTGTTTGCTTAATTAGGTGAAAACTTGCCAACAGCTGTCCCGTCCCCTCCCGTCCCGTGCCGTCCCGTCCCATGCCGTCGGCATGCCGGGCAATTGCTAATGAGCAGGACAAGCTGGAGGAGTTGGCGAAATGAAAAGTAACAAGCCACCGTCCTCGCTTTCAGCCATCGGAAAATGGAAAATGGTTAATGGTAAACGGGAAAACGTTCGCTCTGTCGCTTCAAGTGCTAAGATTCCAACTTTTGTCAGTCTGTCTTTTGGTTTTTACTCTATGCAGAAGTTGAGGATTCTTGGCTATGACGGCTGCTCAACAAAGTGATGGAAAACCAAGACTTCCAAAGGCCATCTTTTCAAGCTTGATTTCCGAGAGTTTGTACGCACAATTCCTGGAATTACTATCTTAATTTCTTTGGATTTTTTTGGCTTGCTTTTCATCTTTTCCGAATAATTGCGGGCACTTCCTTTTGCATTTCCGGTCAGTGAAAAGAGCATCAGAAATTTCACATCGCAGGAAGCGGCTTGGTTGTTCTGCGCCTCAATGCTGCTGCTGGTGCTGGTGCTGCAGTGGGTTTTCCTTTTCTTCAATCGCTTCTTCTTTTCTTTTTGGAGGGGAAATTTGGCGTTGCCCATTGCCATGGCAAGTGCATAATTTTTCAATCAAAGCGAGCAGCTGTAAAACAAACAAAAGCTGAAAAGCAACAGCAACGGCAACGGCAGAGGACGGGGACAGGGGACAGAGGACGGGGACAGAGGACGGAGCAGAGGACGGGGCGGGAGGCCAAAGAAGAAATCGTGAGGCAGGCCAACATGGCAGGCCAAACCAAAGCCAAAGGAAAAAAGAAAACCCGAATAGGAAAAGCTCTAGCGCTCTGCCATGGGATGGGAGGAAAGGAAAGGAAGTGGTGCTGCAAACGAGATCTTCACTCCGTTTGAACCCATCCCATTGGAGCTTGGCCTCAGCCGCGGCTCAATGGCATTTAAATGCAAATGACCACGAAGCGTGAGGGTGTTCAATGCGAACTTTATGCATGGAAATTGGCAAAATGCGAGCAAGCGTTTTCCTCAATGGTCAAAGTGTCAACGACAACGAGTGTAGGTGTCTCATCCATTGTCTCTGGGCAATCTGGGCCCCCCCTTTCCCAGTCCCTGTCGGACAGAGCCATCCCGAGGCCATGCTGGGGTTCAGAACGATCCAGGTTGAGGCCTGTGTCGAGGCCAAAGTCAGGCCGCTAATTAAAAGCCATTGCTAACAGTCAACGACTTAATGGCCAGGCATTTGCATAGCTGTCACCGGCAATGCCCACACTTGGCCACGTTCTGGAAAAGTGAGGAAAACCAAAAACAAAAAGGCACATCCAGCGCCCGCAGCCCGGAGCACGGAGCTCTGCTCTGCTCTGTTGCCCCATCAGAAGACCAACTCCAGCTCCAACTCCAACTCCAACTCCATCTGAAACTCCAACACCTCGTCCAAGTCCAAGCCAAATACGCACCAGAACCGGCCATAAAAATTGTCAACGCGTGTCTTTGATGATGTTCCGTAACACGAGAGAAAGGGTATATTAGCTTTGTGGGAAAGGAGGATTATAGATGTAGAAAATGGGTTTGAAATAGGATAAAAAGGCTAAGAATTTGTGGATGTTTGCCTAACTCTTGTTTAACAAAGGCCTTAAACTGCAAGAAAAGGTTACAAATCTACAAAAAGTCCTAAAATTTAACCATTTCCAACCCTTGGCAGGCTCTACCTCTTCTAGAGTATCCCAAAGTCGTTCTTTTAAAACCCAAGAAACGGTTATCTATCGCTTAATATAGGCGTTTTATGCAACATGAGACACGACGCACATGCGTCTTCTCACACCTATGTAACGACAGAGGCAATCCACGGAGGCATTCGAGTCTCCTATGAGATGGACAGCAGAAGGAGACGTCTTTACTTACTAAGGCGGCACACGTCGCAGCCGCAGCTCGACTTTTCGCACATTTCAATTTCAATTTCAGCACGATCATGATTAATCGACGCCTTCAGTGGCTCACAATCCGTAATACATCATGGCTATATGCATGCGCGAGTGTGTGTGTGTGTGTGAATGCCTAATGGCGTGCGTAGCTGAAGCGTTAAAGAGATCGTGACACGCCTGGTTTAACTCCGTTGCTGTGTGTGTGTGAGCGCCTCATAATTTGATTAACACTTCTGTCGGACTGCCCCTCCGCACAAGACACAATGCGAGGAGAAGCTGCAGGTGACTGCGGGCACACCTAAAGATACGACTTACGACTATGAGTCTGCCGCATCTCGCACCTACGAGTGTATCTGCCGCGGCACATGCCACATGGGTCTCTGCTCAAATTGCCGTGAAATTATCATAATTTCTTTGGGTCTCCTATGAGCGCTCTCTGACAAACATCAATTTCAGTTAATGGTGGGTTCGTTTTGTCAGTGTAATGTTAATTGGCGACAAAGCTGGTTATGGTTAAATTAATTTCTTAATTTATCGGTGGGAGGTATTTTTAATGAATGACTGAAGGTGTAGGGGTATCTTGGGTCCAGTAGAAAATTATGGAAAAGCATTTTGTAGGTCAAGCCTATTAATAGGGAATTTATAGATACTTCCTAGCGCTTCCAGTAGGACGCATGGTCTTGCCTCTGTTGTTCCGATAGCTCTTGAGCAGAAAAACCATTGAACAATCCATCATTGCACTTTTCCCTCTTTTAAGTCATATTTTGTACCCAATTTCTTATCCCCCCTAACAAATAACTTTACACAGTTTTATTTTTATTTTTAGACATTTATTTTCTTTAAATATATTTAAGTTTATTGCTTTACTTAATCAGTACAATTCGTTTATCAGAAATTTTAATTAAATTAATTCTCTAAGTCTCTGAAACTTGCTGTTTGGGGACAAGTCGAAGGCTCTACTAAACATTAGCACCGCTCTGCGTTTCGGCAAATAAATAATATATGAAATAAATAGCTCGAGATTATTAGATTATAGATTATATAGGTTGGACTTTTAAGGCGGGGATTGGTTTTTTGGGGAGCTGGGAAACGCCGCCTAGCACAGAAGCCTGGCGCAAAACATTTTGATACAAAATTATTTGGCAAACTTTGTGTGAAAATGTTAGCAGCTGAATAAATAGTTATTAATACATAGAATAATAGTTATAAATGCATGTCGCTCGAGTTCTATAGACCTAGACATATAGATACGAAAGAGACGTCTCACTAAGCACTAAAAATTAGCCTAACTTTTGCTAGAGAGAATCGGGGAAAATCTGCTTGATTTTTCCGGTTCCTTTAACTAAATCGTAACTCGAATTTTGCATGGGGGAGAATTTCCGTTTGATTGGCAATGCGCAGATTCAAAATGCTGGAACATTTTCAATTTCCAGGGCATTTAAAAGCGCGCATTCTTGAGAGACAAAAAAAATATGTATGGGGGGGTCATAGATCTATGTTTAAGTTGTAAGTTTAGCCTTAGTCTAGGATTGGATTAATCTAGGGTTTCCAATGATTTTCGCATTTGTCGCGGCTTGGGCGAATATTGTCTATTCAAGTCTCATCGAATCTTTTGAAGCTTTCGAGGCATATTGCGTTTGTTCCCAGCTAAATGTGAGAGCTGTGTCCTGGAGTTGTCCATGCGTTCGTCCGTCCGTCCGTCTAGTACTGCTGTCCGTAGCGTCCGTTGATGCCGCTGTCGTAGAGCTTGCTCAGCGTGTCCTTGGCGCTGTGGCCCATGTGGGAGGCGGCCGACGAGGCGGAGGATGGCGGCGGGGGTCCGTACAGTATGGTGGGCGCCCCGTAGGTGATGGTGGGCGTCGGCTCGTGCTGGTACAGGTATCGCTCCTTGTGTGTGCGCCGCTGGACGGTCTTCCAGATGCCAAAGATGCTCAACTGGGCCAGCAGGAAGAGCGCTCCAGCCATGATCAGTCCTACAAAAGAGAAACAGAAACAGAAAGAGAAAGAAGTGAAAATAAATGGCATTACTCGATCAGCAATTTCAAAAGGGAAGTCGGCCTCTTATCGCCATAAATCAATGGGATTATCGCCGGCAAGCGATCTAGTTCTCGAACTGTCCATAAAACTGGTTTCCCCAGAAACCCAAAGACCCGCCAAAGAAACCCACAGAAAAGATAAGATCGTTTCAATCAAAAGAAAACAAGGAAGAAGTCGAAGAAGTCGAAGAAGTGACCTAAGATCGGTTTAGTTATCAAAGAAAACAAAAGTGGGCGCCACTTGACCCACTTTTGGCCATAAAACGATACAAAAAAGAAAGAGAAGAAATAGGCCCCCAAGGCCCCAAAGCGACCAAGTGACCAAGTTGTGACAGCAACAAGTTGAAGATAAACATAAAACAATGAGAAATAAAACAGCGACAATTTAATGCATGAGTTGCATATTTTGGCATGCCACAAGAGGCAGCAGCCACCACACACACACAAAGAGAGCCACAGTCGGAGTCAGAGAAGAAGTAGCAGCAGCAGCAGCAGCAACAGATTGGACTCACTTTCCTTCCTACCCTCCACATTGCATGCCACAATTGTTGGTTGGGTTCTTAAAAGTGCAACATGCCACATAAATAAGCCCAGTCAGAGCAGAGCAGAGGCCGCAGCGCTCGGCCATGGTCGGAGGAGGAAATTCGAAATGCCAATGCCGGTAGAAATCGGGTGAAAGTGCCGCCAAAGTCAAAGTCAAAACCAGAGTGCAGTACGACGACGACGACGACTCGCATGCGTTGTCGTTGCTGTTCGTCCAGTTCACGAAATCAGAATTTAAGAGCATCAGCCAGAGCAACACAGCAACACAACAACAGCCACAACGACCGACATGCCAGATGACTATCAAAGATTACTTTGTAACTACGTTTGCTGTTGACCATAAAAAGTAAGCTCTGAGCGGACCAGAGTTCCAAACCAGAGCCAACCAAAAAAAAAAGATACACAAACCATCATCATTATCATCATCATGTGGCTCTTTGGTCATGACTTGAATGAGTTTCAATAACAAAGTGCACGCACTTGAAACTGGCCTTTATTTATGTGTATTTGTTGTTGTATTTGTGTGGTGCCCCCGACTTGATCTGACAACGGATCCCCAACAGCACTCACTATTCACATCCCCATTCCCGACAACAACAAGGCCAACAAAAGAGAGAAACAACGAAAATATACAAAATTATTACAATTACTGTAAACGTTCAGTTAGAAAGATGGAGAGATCCAGAGGTAGCAGTACCCCGAGTACAACGAGGCGCCCACAAAACCCAAACACACCAAAAATAATTTGATGAAAACCCGAGCCAGAGCCAGAACAATGAGAATGGGGTAAATGTTGGGAAAAATCTAAGCGAATGGGAGGAAAAGTTGCACGGCAGAATATAGAAAGCGAAACCAGAATAATCTATGCATATTTTTTGGAATACGAGCAGTTGTGGGATCCAATCCAGTATTGGGATCGATGTTCGGGAACCATGCAGTTAATTGTCCAATTATATTCAATGCTTAAGATAAAAGATCTCCATGTTCTAAAGGATAATTTCTGTAAGTACTCAGGGAAACATTTCCATAAAGCAGCCATTAAATCAAGTAAACAAAATGATGGAGTAAACTTATCCCAATGTCGAAAGCGAAATGAAGAATCACTTCAAATAAGGAAGTAAACTTTTTTCAGAATTGTAAGGCAAGTAATAGCTGAAATTAAACATCATTCAAGGACTAAGAGATCCATTGTTAAAATAATTGAGATAAGTGGAAACAGATTCATTACGCTAAAGAATGTTCAGAGTGGAAAAAAAGTGGCCGTATCGAAAGCGAAAAGAAAGATCCCATACATAGGAGAATACCGAGCCAAGTAATGTCGGGAATCAAGATTCATTTAGGGACTCAACGATCAGATGCATCAGAAAAAGTGACCATTAAATTGATTGGGCAAAAAGTTGCGGAATATCGAAAGCGAAACGAAAGCTCTCCCCATAACCATATATGGGAAGTGCCTTGTCTTGAGGATTTTGCTGTGAGTAATATTAGAAATTAAACATCATTCAAGGACTTAAAGATCCAGTGCTATGAAGTGACCATTAAAATGATTGAGATAATTGGCCGAAGAGATTCGTTTATATTGTATGTATAAATATAGCTGGCCAAAGAATGAGAAATGCTCATAAGCTTTGACAAATTATAGGCCAGATGGCGTTAAATTGCTGCTCTGCATGCCACAAAACTCCCAGTCGAAGACTCAGCGAGTCGAGTCGAGTCGAGTCTAGTCTAGTCTCACTGTCTGCACGCATTAAAGATCACCTGTCCGGGGCCATGGCGATCTACCATCATCTACCATCTCGAGATCCCATCCTCCCATCCTACCATCGTCGCGTCCCATCCCGTCCCAACAATGTGTGTGGCAAATGAGCTTAAACAGCAGAAGAAAACCGTTGCTCTAATTGCGGACAATGAGCCTCGGCCTGGGCCGACTCTGATCTGCCTTGAAATGCAGCGCGTAATTACAACAAAAATTTATGTTGCTGATTACGGAACGGTGGTCCAATGCACGGAGTCCCAATCGCAGTCCCAGTCGTAGTCCGATCTGAAGCTTAGGCTGGACCTGCTGCTGTCTAACGAGCTGTCAATTTAACGCTTCAACGCTGCATTCGCTTTAATGCGGCATGGCAATTGCTCCACAAAGGAATGACACATGGGAGATGGCTGGGTGGCTGGGTGGCTGGGTGGATGCAACAGAAACAGCAACAGCAACGGCAGCAGCTGGAAGCTCTGAAAACTGAAAACAGAGTGGAGCAAGCTGCATGCTGCATGCTGCAAAACTGAAACCGAGAACTGAGAAATTTTCAGCTGCTGGCTAACGGATGGAGGAGACGACTACCAACTGTGCAGAAAAAGTTTTCGCGCCGCACGAAAATGAGGCGTGCACAATCCTGCACAGCTGCAGCTGAACTAGTGACCTGGTCGTGAGCCAGAGACACCAAGCCAACATCATAACTTGTTTAATGCAGTCACAGAACACGTTCTGGACACCAGTCGGAGGTGGAGGTGGATGCGCTTCGCTGTGCTCTGCTCTGCTCTGCTGTGCTGTGCTGTGCTGTGGATGCGGGGGATCAGTATGCAGTAGGCAGTAAGAGCTGGGATCTGAACCTGAACAGAACCTAATTTAATTCTCATGCAGGAGGAATCATTCGGCCAAAGTCGGCAATGATGAAAAATTGATTCATTATCAAAATTAGCGAGCAGGCAACAATGGGCCAGGGCCAAGAACAAGCTCACTGGCTCACGATGCTGCCAGTCGCCCCACCGATATACCCCCCGTGCTGATTCACCCAGCTACCCAGCACGACAGTCGACTACAATGACGACAACGGATACGGCAGAAGACGCAGACGGAGACGACGAAGACGAAGACAACGTCCTGCTAGCTCCTTGTCTATGCAAATCGCGTAACTTTTGATTCGCGCTTGATTGGGCATTTTCACAGAGAGCCAGAATCGGAATCGGAATCACTAGAATAGGTGGTATGTGGTAGGAGAGGACTTACCATAGCCATTAAGACAAGTGAGCTTGTCCTGGGCAACGCCCGCATATGCCTTCTCGTGGGGACCAGATCCGCTGTCATTGCCATTGCCATTGGTGGTGGTGGTGGTGGTGCTGCTGCTGCTGCCGTCCTCTGGCTGGAAGCCGAACTTGTCTGTGATTTGTATGGACTGCACGAGCAGTATGTTATCATCAACGGGGCCCACATCCCGGCGGTGGCGTGTGCTGACCATGAACTCGGCTGTGAATCAATTCAGGCAGTTAGTAGGGAAAGATACTCGCAGCTCTCACCGGCAGCCACCGGCAGTACACTTACCACCATCGGTGCCATTGAGCACTGAGCGCTTCTTGCGGCCATAGGAGACCAAAGACTTGAGCTCACCGCTGGCGCCATCCTCGGTATCGCAAATGACGGGCTCACAGCGCGGTATGCAGGGCGTAACCAGAGCGCGGAACTGCACCACCTCGCTGGAGGGGAACTTGAAGGCATCGAACTGGGAGAGGAGCACCTTGCGGTTGTGCGTCAGCTTCTGGATGGTGCCCATGATGTATTGATCGGTGGGGCAGCCATTAGCATCGATCAGCGTTATCTCGGCACTGTCCGAACCATCCATGGCCACCAGTTCCCTAACGAAGATCTCGTACGGGCTGTTCTGTTCGACGATCTCAAAGCGAAGGGCCAGGGGATCGCCCACCTCGGCGATGCGCTTCATGTCGCTGCCGTCCCGTGAGGTGATCTTCATGATCACATTCGGAGAGTCAATGGTGATCTCTTCGCTCAACGACGATTCAATTTCACCTGTCACACCCAGATCGACATCGTTCAGCACCGTCTTGTTGGTCAAGTCGTACTGGCAGGACACTGCCAGTCCCAGATCTGAGGATGTGACGATCATGTCGTGATGCTGGATGACAATGTCGTTCATATACCGCCCATAGGCACTCTGGCGGACATTGCACTCGAGGTCGTTGTAGCCCATGCGGAAATCAAACTCCAGCGAGCTGTTCACATTCACAGCGCAGGATTTGGGGGCTCCCTTGGCATAGACCTTGCCGTCGAAGAGCTTGGAGGTGCGAATCTTGGTGATCATCTCCCCGGAACGGCACTCAATGGACACATTGTAGCAGGCCGAGAGCTCGTAGGTGGCTGCCTCGGGCACATCCAGATAGGGATCCATCACGTCGGTTAGGGTGGCGCGACTGTGATGCGACAGGCGACAGACCATGTCTCCAGTATCGTTATAATCATAAGAGTGGCATCTGTCAAACGATTGAGGCAGTGAGAAGGGATCTCTTACTACAGTGAAAGGGAAATGCTTACCTGTAGGGGGAGTTGAGGCAGAGATCACGGCACTCGTCAATGGTATTGATGTCCTGATAGACAGAGTCGACAGTCTTCAGAATCTTGCCAGAGATGCGCTTGAACTCGCAAAGTTTGCTGGGCTCCTCCGCGCAGTTGTTCTCCAGATAGTCGGCCCCATCGTAGGGCTCTACGCTGCCGCCGGCCGAGAGGGTAATACGATCCATATCGGACAGTTCGCACAGACCCGAGTGGCGGTAGTAGTTGGCCGAGCTGATTCGTGGTTAAAATTATGAGCGGTAGAGATCGGAAGAGGTGAAGAGTTCGGAAAGCGAAGTGGCGAAGATCGAAAGGTGGAAGAGAAGCAAGAGAAGTTACATATAATAGAGCATTAGGATAGGATTTTCAAGTGTTTATGTACATAGAGCACGAAGCAATAAGTTAAGCCGCTCAAAAATAATAAAATATATTAAAAAGGATTCATTTCAGATTCAGTATGGTAGAGAGAGCAAGATCAATAGTATGGGTAGAATTTAATATCAGTTCTTTGGGATTGTTTTCCTACTTTGCTATGTATACCCACTCTTCTAGTAATCTGTTCAATCTGTTCACTAAGAACGAGCTATTTAGCCATTCTAGGCTCTTTCAACAAGTGTACTCTAAGTTCTATTCCAGAACTACGTGAACGAACTGTTTTTCAGGGTTTTCAAGTAGTACTTTTACCCTCAGTTTGGCAAGGCTTTTCTATCCCTAAATCTAATTTAGGAGAACACATTTTGGGACCCTTTTGTGACACTCACCGGCATGTGAATTCGGTTTCCCCGAGGCAGAGCTCCAGGCAGTCGCGCCGCGAGAGAACCGTCTGACTAGACTTGACATGTTCGGGTAGGCGGTAACCTTGAACGCGATCGATGCACCAGGCCTTGGAGCAAGGACGGACGCCCAAACACGATTTCTGTGCGTAGATGGTGAAAACCGGAAACTGCGAGCGCGAAAGTGAACCTGAAAATGCACCAAAGAGAGCGGGTGAGTTAGAGAGTGAGAGAGAGAGAGTGAAGGAAACACACAGATAAAAACAAAGCCTGGAAAACCGGGAAAAATCAGGAAAAAGCAACGGTGCCATGCGTATGGGAGGTGCGTGCGTTGAGCATTTGGTGAGTTTTACGCACACGCCCCTTCACTGCAGAGTAACAGGCGTGCAGCAGCAGCTGAAGGCTGATCTGAGGCTGAATCAGCAGCAGCTGAATGTGGCAGCCACAGTGGAGGCAAAAGGCAGTGGCAACAGCAGTGGCAACAGCAGCGACAACTGCATCGACATTCGACGACTGGGAAGGCTGTGGCAGCAGCAGAAATTATGCGTTACTGCCAGCAAACGCCAATGCCAAAAGCCAGTTTGCAGAATAGGCAAAATCTAGTTTTCCTGGGCCCAAAGCCCGGCCACAGCATCGTCGCCGTCGCCATCGTCGCCGCCTTGGCTGCCAGCCAAATCATGCGTAAAAGCAAAAGGCGTTTGCGGCCACTGGGAGACACTCGTGTGATTTATGCCTCTTGGCCACGAAAGCCACAGGCACAGCCTCAGCCTCAGCCCCAGCCACAAGTAGCAAAAAAACCAACATGCAACCTGCATGAACTAGAACTCAATAAATGAGCAAATGAATGGATGAATGAATGAATGAATGAATGAATGAGTGAGCGAGTGGATTGAGTGGCCGGCTAAATTATTGAGCTTTCTTTGGCACAAAAAACAAACAGCCAACTGGAGGAGTAGTCGTCGTGGTCTCATATTCTCACACTTTCTAACTCACCTGGCAATTTATCGGCCGTGGTCTTGAACAGCACACACAAGCCGGTTTCGTAGTTGACAGCGCTGCAGGATTCATTGCTCTGGCAGGCCTCCAAACAGTCCGTGAGCATCAGGGTGCCCGGCAGAGTGTCCAGCATTTTCGAGGGTGCCGATAGCACATACCTGAAATTGAGATAAAGTAGTTCAAATCAAACAGATCCGAAAGATACCGCAGAGAATTTATGAGCAGCTAATGAAAATGAAAGTGTTTCACTGGCCATTCTACCGGTCCATAAGTCTTCATTATGGGCCCAAAACAAAAGACTCTGGCAACGAACGGGCCAGTCGGTCTGGGGCCGATGACATCGAACCAGTCATCGGATTAGTCACGTTTTAACCAAAAAGTGTCACTCCTACTGCCGGAAAGGCACAGCCACAGCCACAAACACAGATACATTTGCATATGCTAGTTAGTCGGGGCTTCCACTGACTCCATTTCTGGGTTCCCACTTGTTTCACCGTTATGGCTCTTTCTCCGCTACCCGGCTTCTTCTCGTCTCGTCTGTCCTCTTCTTATGGAAATGTTAATTGGCCACAATGTCAGTTGCATTTCATTAAAACTGTATGAACCTTCGGCTTGGGCATTGTCTTGTCTTGGCCCTCATTCAAATTTTAGAAGAAAAGCAAAAGTGAAAACAACACAAACGCACAAAAATTAAGTAAAAAATGTAATCAAGTTTCTATAATGCCAGGGGATTGCATAAGCCAAAGTTGAGTGAAATTTTTGCCATTGTTTTGTGACAGTTATGATATGCCGGGAGGAAAGCACCAAATAATTATGCAATTTTTAAAGGGAAACCCATTTTGAAGCAGCCAAAACTCATTTCAATTAGGAGAAGGTTTGCAAATTTTGTTACCCCAAAGAAGTCTTGATTTGAAGGCTTTTGAGTGTAGAAAACTGATACTGTCCATAGTCCATGCCTTCAGAATATCTCCCAAGTGCGGGCGTTCATAGAAATTGTCTTCTCACATGAAATATTCTTCAGAAATATATAGAACCCTATCGGTACTTGCCAGAAATATGGCATCTTAGACCATTCTTTTTCTGTCAGTGTATGGAACCCCCATACGAGTAGGTATAACTATGCCCGTTCCTTCATGGATCATTAGTGGCATTAACTTACCCGGTAATGATCTCGAAGCCAACCATATCTGGATCACACTCCTCCTCCTGCAGCTGGGCCGGGGATTTGTCCGTTTTGGCCTCGGGTTGGGCCTCGTTGGGCGTCACCAGGGGCTTGGGCAGCTCTCCGCTGCTGCCGGCTGCAATTGTGGCAGCCTCCGCCGCCACCTCGCTATTGGATTCCGTGGTGGAGCTACTGCCACTGCTGCTGCTGCTGCTGCTGGTGGCTACGGATGAGGCGGATGCAGAGGCAGAGATGGCCGCTGGCGAAGGCGTCACATTGGTACGTGGTACGGTCTGCTTGACCGGCTTGACAGGACGTTTTGTTTTGCGTGCGGCACTGGCGGCGTCACTCGCAATTAGGCAGAGCAGCAGCAGAAAGGTGCAGCGGCGTAGAAACATTTTGTCTGCAATTGAAAAAGATACAGATACGGAGACGGGAACGGGGGTTAGACGCAGTGAATAGCTAGAGAGATCGGTTGGCAAAATGTTAATTAGCAAAGCTAATTTCGCATTACGCGTAATTTATGTAATTCCTGGTGTGCATTTTATTAGTTTTGCTGTAACTCAAAGAAGGCAGGAGACGGGACTCCACACGGGTATGGGGGCTTTGCACTTCCAGGAATGAAACGAAACGGAACTTTGTGTCTTCTGTTTGGTATTCGGCATTCGGTGTTGAATGTTCGGTCTTGGGTCTGCCTCTGCCTCTGACTCTGTTCGAGCTTTAATTGCCTCACTTGTTCCCCCCGTGTTTCAGCGTTTAATTAAAGCTACAGCTGCACTTACAGCTTTCAGGTCTCAGCTCTCAGCTCTCAGCTCTCAGCACTCAGCACTCTTGCACCATCTTATTGTTCCTGCCACACAATAACAGTACCAGTTGCAGGCCACAAAACAATAAGAATAAAAACATTGTTTAGTCCACGGTTTATGTGTGAAAAGCGTTCGCTGCCTGGGAAATGGGGAAATGCTTTGGGGTCGGGATGTGGGTGAAGGCCCCATGCTGGGGGGAAACGTGATGCGACCCCATAGGCCTAGTTTTCACCAAATCTGGGAAGCATTGGCATTCCAAGTATATCAACTGGGATAAAAGATACTATCACGATTGAAAGCGTGATTTCAGATGGTTGTTTTTTTTTTCTTGATTAGAAATCTTCAACTTTTGGTGATCTATGCTCTAAAATGAGGGGCTTACCATTTTCTTGTTCCCCGCCATAATATCTTCTTTCTTTCATAATAATTATGCAATATCTTAAGCGTCAAACAATTAACACTTTGCAGCCAACGAATCTCTGATCTACAACACACACACTTCTCTATGCCCCCCTTTTTTAGCCAAGTTTTTTTCGGCGTGAAAGTGAAATAAAGTTTTATCTTTTCATTCATAAAAAGATCCAACGAAATAAACACATTTTCGCGTTGTGTTGTTTTTTTTTTATTGTATTTTTTATGCGTTTCGGCTGTTGGCTGTTGGCTGTCGATTCCGTGGTACCGCTAAATAATTTCACTGGCCATAAAAACCATCACAAACAAAGAGGTAGAAAAACAGTCTCTAAAGATTCGCAAAGAGCAGAGACTATAGACGAGAGAGAAGTGAGGTAAAGTGAGGAGAGGAGAGGAGAGGAGAAAGGCAGGGAGATGAGCCACCTGTGAGATAATCTAAAGTGCTGCTCATTATTTTGCCCCAGAGACACAGGGAAGAAGATTTAGCGGTTAATAAGCGGATGCGTGAGAAAAGATTTTTGCGCTCGATGGATGTGCTGTGTTCGGTTTTTTATGTTGTTTAATGTTTCGTTAGTTACATAATTAATTATGCCCCTTGCTGGGCAGAGAGATCGGGCGGGGGGGAGTGGTGGGTCCAGTGCAGGTTGCATGCAAAACAAGTGCCACGCCCACACCTGGAAATCTGGAAACCTGCAACACGGCGCTCGCACATAAATTATGAAAGCCAAACAAGGGATGGGGGCGGGGGGGGAAAGCCCCGTTAATGCTAATAACATGCTTTAAGATACTGCACTAAAAAACAATATGCTGCCTGGCTGCCCGATCTCCCCTGCCAGATCCCAACTACAGATCCCAGCTCCAGTCAGTGCCTCAGGCCCCATAGAGGCTTCCCCATTCTTGCAGCTCCTTCTTCTTCGATCGTCTCTGGAGCTGGTGCTGCACCATTCTTCTGCTCGATTGAACGGCAATATATGTGGCAGACAATGAAAGATAGACAGAACGAGAGAGGGGCAGCACTCATTATGGTACCCTCACTTCCACTTGCAATTAGTGGTAAGAGTATGAATGAATTTATGCTAATTATAGGCCTCGACAACAGACGCAACGCGCTTTTAATAAGACACCGCAGGCCACTCCCCCCTCCGCCCTCCGCCCAGCGTACAGCTGGGGCCTGCATTTCTGAATATCTTTCATTTTTTCGGGGCTTCCATCTTCATCATCTTTCTACTATCTGCCCCTTTTATTTTTGGGTTCCGTTCTGTTCTGTGCTCTGCGGTTCGTTTTGGTTCGGTTTCACCTGCTAACCCACAAATGTAATGAGCCATTGGACCAAAAGTGGACAAGAAAGAATGAATGGTGGTGCGGCCGTCGACAAGAACGAAAAAAGAACGGTAAATGTGCGTGTGTGTGGCATGTGGTTTTCGATGCCACACATTCACATATTCCAATTCAAAATTTCAGAATTCTCTGTGGTTTTTCCATCACTTAGAATTTCCATGCGAGCGTAACCGAAACCCATTTTAATTAACATATAATTTGTGGCTAGGCAAACGTTTTGCCCTGGCCTTTTGTTTTTCTTTCCTCATTCCTCTCTCCCCTCTCCCCTTTCCACTGTACGATTTTCCATGCAACGTTTCGGTTGATGTTTTTCCACGGAGGTTAGATATGTCTATCAATTTCACTAATTGAACGTTAACAAGCCGCCGCCGCAGCCGCAGCAGCCGCATCGGAGCTGGAAGCGACTGTTCCTCCATCTATCAATCATGTGAACCACTCTGCCAGTCGGCGATTGAGGTGGGTTTGGGTAGTACCACTGTTAGTTACTAGGTGAGAGATCTGTTATGTGATGGCCGCGCAAATCAAGCCATTCCAATTTGTAGGCAGCCTCTTCTCTTCCTTGTGTGTGCCGGGCCGGGCCGGGCCTCCTTGTTAATGTCTGGCCCATAAACAAAAGACTTAGGCCACAAACTAATCATATGTGAAGCGAATCGCAATACTCGTACCAGAGACGATGGCCTGCAGAGTTTTCATTACGATTCTGCTAATGGTTGCCAGCATCCGCATTTCCAATTGAAAACAATGAATAAACTGAATTCATTTTTCGATACGAGTACGAGTATGAAAACTAAATTGAAAACCACTATCTGAAATTGGGGTTTCAGGCCCACTCTCGAGAGGTCAGAACAAAAGATTCTGTGGCCGGGGGCTGAGTGGGGGCTGGAGGCTGGTGGCTGACTTTCAATATATTCAATAAAGATTTCTCTAGTTTCGTATGCGGGTTCCCAGGCAGCCATCCATATCGCCGATGGCGCGCACAAAACAAAAGGAATAATATTTTGGATCGTTCGATTTGAATTTATGCCAACTAAATGCCAGGCCAGCAAAATGCCAAATGCTAATTGACTTTGCAGCCATAATAAAAAACACTTTCTCAATGGAAATTCTGCCCAAGAAACGAGGGACAAAAGCGAGACACCAGCTACAAGTACCTGACCAGCTCTGGTCTCAGCTCTTCTGAGCCGCGGAGCATGCATAATAAATAAGGCTTTTGTGCGGAGAGAAATGAGCGGTTGGCTGCAAGGAGGAAGCGGCATATTAGCACGGAGACTGAATCAGAGTCCGCGGCGGCATTATCATAAACTAAATATAGCAGCAAATATCAATTTGATTGTGCCTGTGCCGAGAGCACAAATTGAGACCGGTATACAATGGTTGCTGCAACGAGAGCAGGTCCAAGCCAAGTCCAGAGTCAAAGCCCGGGACGGAGTCGGAGTCCGAGTCCCCGACCGGGAGTTGGCATTGTTGTCCAAGTACCGTTGAAGTTTAGCGCTGCTGCATGTCCGGCTGCTGGCCAGTGATAAATTATCACTCTTGGCCAGGCCATTACTTTTCGGAAATGTACGAGGTGAGCGACTGCAGTTGCTCACCGCCACCAAAACTTATGGCCGGCAATGAAAATGAGTATAAGAATGGGAATGGGAATGGGAATGGGACTATGAGAGTGCGCTTTAGGTGACCATAGATCTGTAGACTCTTCCAGGTGCACTCGCTCTTCGCTCAGTGTAGAATGGGGGCCAAGGCGTTGGCGTTTATTATGCAAATATTTTAGCCTTAACTTAAGGCCGCAAATTAATATTGCTCAGAGGTGCAACTAGAGAAGGAGATGCAGTTGGGGGGGAACTACAGTTGGAGCTACTCCTCTGAAGCACTGAAGCTCCACTGCAGCGCTGAACAATGTCGCATTCATTTAACGGCACTTGGCTGATTGTTATTTAAAGTTCAGTTCATAACAATTGTGTGGTGGAGTGGTGGAGTGGCAGAGTGGCAGAGTGCCAGTGTGCTGGTGTGGCTCTGGGTGCTGATGCTTTGTCCGTTTTGCAATTTACTACTTTTGCATAGTTAACAACTTGATTGGTAGCGCTGGGCAGCTGTTGGCAGCACTGGAAGCCGAGCCATGACATTGAAATGTAGGCCTTGCCATCATCATCATCATCATCGATGCCCGCCAATGATTGTCGTCGTCGTTGTTGTCGTTGTTGCTGTTGCGGCTGATGTTACCCGATTTTGTCGTTGTCTGCTGCCTGTTGCCATGCCGTTGTTGTCATGCCGCATAAGTGGGGAGTACTGGTTGCTGGTTGCATAACTAACAATGTTTAGAGCGCATAAATGCATGGCCATGGCCATGGCCAAGCAGAACTCCATCTAGCATCTAACATTCAGAGTAACGGGGTCCCGCACAAATGCTCATGACATGCAAAAGAATTTCAGTTATGTTCAGCCTCGAATCGGTGGAAATACTTCTACGTACGATAGACAGACGGGGGAGGGGCAGAGCAGGGAGGGTGTCTCTGGGTGGGATATCCAACCATTTAGCAATGCAAATTGCGTTGTTTAGCTTATAGATAATGTCATTCAGAAGTATCGCAAAAATGCTTAAGCAACTCGAAACGAGTTCGCTGCCAAAGTCTCTTTTCGATAAATGCATTTGATAAGAATGAAGAACGACAGTTGACATATAAAAAAGAGGTAGAAAATCCTATGGTTGAGGCGTAGGAATGTGGATGATTGATTAGTGATTCCAATCATTTGGCTCCTCTTTGATAGCATTTGAATGGGGATCAAAGGAATTAATGCAACTGGGCTACTGTCAAATATTTCCTTCGATATAAATTGCCGGTTCA